GCAAACCTGGTCAAGACCTAACAAAGGTTTCTGTACCAAATATTAAGTTCTGCTTTTCTGATGTATCAAATACTTATGTCATGCAATAAAATGCAAATTAATTACTTAAAAATCATACAGTGTGATTTTCTGGATTTTTGTTTTAGATTCCGTCTCTTACAGTTGAAGTGTACCTATGATAAAAATTAGAGACCTCTACATGCTTTGTAAGTAGGAAAACCTGCAAAATCGGCAGTGTATGAAATACTTGTTCTCCCCACTGTATATATATTTACATTTACATTTACATTTTAGTCATTTAGCAGACGCTCTTATCCAGAGCGACTTACAGGAGCAATTAGGGTTAAGTGCCTTGCTCAAGGGCACATTTACGTCATTTAGCAGACGCTCTTATCCAGAGCGACTCACCAATTGGTGCGTTCACCCTATAGCCAGTGGGATAACCACTTTACAATTTTGGGGGGGGGGTAGAAGGATTACTTTATCCTATCCCAGGTATTCCTTAAAGAGGTGGGGTTTCAAATGCCTCCGGAAGGTGGTGAGTGACTCCGCTGTCCTGGCGTCGTGAGGGAGCTTGTTCCACCATATATATGGGAAATTAGCTTTAAAACTGCTGAATGTTCTCTCAGCCTCATGGCAAAATGTGTAGAATAGCAGGAAATTTGCTACAAAATTAATAAAACAGCAACATACTTTTCAATCTGAAAACATTTTTGTATGTTTGAATATTCAACTTTATGTGAAGAACATAAACGGAGGTGAAGGTTACTATGTAGAAACAAATTATACTTGGAAGCGTATTCATATGTAATTGAATTCACTCATGCTGGACTGGAAACACCACTTTTTACATGTACAGGCCCTGTCTGTCCATCTAGCCTAACTGGCCAGTGCTAATTAATATATATATATGATTTTATCATTGCTTTATGTGTTTATAAACGTTTAGTACCAGTTCTTGTGTTAAGTTATTTACTAGAAAAATGTAATAATCCTTAACCAGGTCTTTTCAGCATTTTAGGGAGTTTATTTGAAAAACACATAGAAAAAGATCATATACAATCAGACAATAAATAAAAGAGGAGACAGAACAGTTTGGGTTAAGCTATGCAACTTCTTGCATCATCATTAGTAATAAATACAGTACAAAATCCACCAAAAGTGAATCTAAAGATTTTCCACAACATTCACTGATCCATGTTATTCTTCCTTATAATGTAGCTATTGCTTTTCATATTATTGATACATATTTCTAGTGTCTATAAAATACTCCAGCTCATAAAACATTGCGAGGTTACAGCAAAACAGCAGTGTGTTGTACAAAGATGGCCACTTCCCTTTAAATCACTGGCAGGTTAGTTTAATCAACAGTTTATCAGCAGCAAAGAAACATATCTGTAATATTCAAGAAGGTACAGCCTCATATTAAACATGTCTACAGCTACGCCCATGTACACATATGAAAACCTGAGAAGGATACATGCATTAGAAAGCTTGTGCTTTAGGATTCTACTGTTCATTCCCCTTCACCAGCTTGAGTTATTATACTATGGCTACTGTCCAGTTTTCCTCTGCAGTAACAACCCAGTATACAGTCTGTGGAGGACAGAGGTAAGGCCAGGTTGTCACTATTTACCACATCCAAAGTCAGAAACTTTGCCTACTTCTACAATTTCTCATGCTCTGATGAAGGTCGACTGACCGAAAGCTCAGCTATAATAAAAATAAATGTGCATCTGACTGGAAGTGTGCGGATACTTTTTTTCAGTTTCTACAATTTATTTTTTAAAATGTGATTCTAACCCTAACCCGGACCACACTGCTAACCTTATGCCTAACCTTAAATTAAGACCAAAAAGCAAATTTTTGTTTTCATGAATTTTTACGATATAGCCAATTTGACTTTGTGGCTGTGGTAACTAGTGACAACCGTAAGGCCAGGAGTTTTTCCCTGACCATGTGACCTGACCAAGAAGTAGACATGGGGTCAGGCCAGTGACAGCAGGAAAAATGAAAATAAGACCAGTCAGCTTCATTCCAATTAGATATATGTAGGATTAATACATTGTTATTATTATTAAGAAAACGCACACAGAAAACAGGTGGTTGGCTTATTATACCCAGGTATAAAACTACTACCTAGAGTATCACATCAGGAAAACATAAGATCAATAGCTCAAGTTTATCATGTTAGCCACCTCCCAAACCTAACCACACAAACACAGCATTTGCCAGCAATACAAAGTACCCAATAATGCAGTTATTAATTCATATGGGAAGAGTTAACATAGCTGGACAGAGAAACGTACACTGAATGGAGACACCGAATATCCAGATATAATATGGTGACATATACAAACGAGGTCAAACAAAACAAAATGAAAACAAACTGGGAAACGGGTAATGATCAGGGATAAATATGAAAAATAAAAGTATCATGTTTCCTCTATGCCAGCGAGGGGTTTAGCCATGCTAGGAGTGCAATGACGGAGGTTTACATGCTAAAACATTTGCACCTAGTCAGTCTGTCCACTAGATTAAAGCAGAGTGTGGGAATCTTCTAAATTACATTGAATGGAATGGAATCAAGATAAACAGCACCACGTTGGCTATAGACAGCACCCATAACATCTAGTCACCCTTCCAAATGACTATTTTTCTTCTTCTGAAAAACACAACTTGCATGCAAAGCATCCCCACCAACCTATGCATAATGAGGTATTTTCCCCTGCAACATTTTGTGTTATTTCTAAATAAATAGATTGATTCAATTGCGGAATCATGAGGAAAAAATACATTAAATATGCCTCCACAAAAGATTGTTAAATACTTAAGGCATTTCAACTCACAGCATCCTATGTGAAGTAGCAACCTTCCTTGTCTGTCTGTAGTTTTTTTGGATGGAGGGTTTGGACAAAGGAAAATAAAAAACGCAACACACAGTCAAGTCAACCTCCAAGAGTACACAAGGAAGCATGAAGATACGTGTAACCGAACACAAGCTAAGCTAGAACAAGGAGACCCCACACCACCAAATCTATTTCAGGCATCCCCATATAGTGCATTTACAAAACAAAACTAGATTATTGCAACAATAAATGTTTTCTGCAGCATTGCAGCAATTTCTTCAAAATTGTAAAAAATGGACGAGGACTTGGCATGAGTGCTCAAAACAAATTGATAGAAAGAAAATCAAAATGAAGAAAGGACTAAAAACAAATCAAATAAATCCAAATACTAAGAATAATTGTTTGGTATTTTTAAACAAATGGCTTTTTCTCCCTTTAACCCTCTTTCAAGTGAACTACACCAACATGATTCATGCACGATATAGGGAAAACGGCTTCCATCACTGAATAGTTTACAGTTGTTCTAGCAATACCATACGACTACCATCATGGGGGCCCATCTTACACATTCTAGAACACAGAACAAAGGCTTACTAGTTGGATAACTCCCCGGAACACCAGCTGTATTCCTGTATCGAAAAACGGGAGCAACTGAGATTGAAAAAAAGGGAACCGAAACACAATGGAGGTTGTTTGCTATGTACTGTATAAATCACGTGCTTGTTCTGTAGGCAATAAGGTACTGGTATATGTTAGAAAATAATTACATTGTATTCACTCTAAAGACAATACACAGACACGGCATCCTCCAGCCCATGCCAGCCTTAAAGATCGTGCTATGGATGAGGCTGTGAGTAGAAGTTGCCCATAGGCACAGTTCTAGAATCAGCATTCCCCTCCACCAATTATAATCTTAATCATTAGGAGGGGAGACGCAACACTGACCTAAGATCAGCATCTAAGGGAAACTTAATCCTGCTCCATGGATGAGGGAGAGAGTCATACTGTTTATGGTTCACATGCAGAGATACTGCAGACATTGCATTTTTTTTTCTTTTTCATCATGAAACTTGCCCTGGAGGCAGCTCTGCAGAGTGGTCACTAGCTGGCACAGCCACAAAGCCATTTAATCTGATTTTAAACCTAACCACACTGCTAACCCTAACCTTAAATTAAGACCAAAAAGCTATTTTTTGTTTTAATAAATTTTCACAATATAGCCAATTCTGACTTTGCAGCTGGTCCATCTAGCGGAAATCGCTGAGTTCTGCCTCCAGGACAAGACTCATGACAATAAACGTCAACCTGCGCAGACTTCCTACTGCTCCACAATCACAAGACAGCCCAAGCCTGCCATACAGCATGCATATCTGGGGCCTCAGTTCTAGGGTATAGAGGCCCCACTACAGCACAATACAAACCACTGAAGCCATGCCTGGTTAGCATCTCTAGCATCCACTGTGATAGCAGAGATCTACTGTACCGGAAACCCACCGATTGATTGGCCTTTGTACATAGCTAGCACTTCCTCATTGCCTAAAGGCTGCCTGTTAAAGAGGAGTATTTCCCCCCTTTTTTATTTATTTTTTCAATAACAAGACTACTACACTCCATAACACCATATGCATTAGGCCACAGAGCTCATTTCAAGAAACATCCCCCTGCTGAGTTCATATCTTGTCATGTTTCGCACAGATGTGCTGTAGCTAGAGCTCAGCGTTTGGGTTTCATCAGAGGGAGTGAGACCAGTCCACATCAGCGGTAGAGAATAGGCCTATATACAAACCCAACAACACAATACATACACACGCTAGGGGTGTTTGATGGAGGATCTCATCTCTGAGTAGGTGTATGGAGAAGCTAATGCTACGGTGCACAACCCGATGGAGACTCATCAAGCCCCTGCACATCTGTCCATACATTCTGCCACCCTTCTGCCTCTCTTCTTCATCCATCCATCCATCCATCGGCCTCTTTTGTTTCTCTATTGTTTGGATCAGTGTGCTTTGTTAATTCCTCCCGTTCATTGTCTTCTTCGGCTGGCTCAGAAGGCAGGCTCACAAGTGATGCAGATGGGAAGGGGGACGTTTGGCAGAGCTCCCCCTAGGGATGAGGTGGGGTATTACAAGATGGGGGCAGGGAGAGGAGGCATCAGCTGTCTGGTGTCAGCTGGGTCTCAATGTCCACCCTGCATATGGGGCATTTCCTACTGGTGGCCAGCCATTGGTCCACACACGCCTGGTGGAAGAGGTGCATGCAGGGTAATCTCCTGGTGGCGGAGGAAGAGGATGAAGAGTGTTAATAAGAATTACCATAGATACAGAGATCTGCAAACTGTAGTCTGTGTTGGCACCGAATATTCCATGATAATAACATTGTCTTTAGCATTGTGACTAGACCCACCTGACATCCTCTCCATCCTCCAGCATTGATAGACAGATGGTACACTTCTCATCTGTATCCAGTTCCTCATCCTCCAGCCCTAGCTTAAGGTCCTGAGGTATCCTCTAGAAAATAAAATATACAACAACATGTAATTACCAAAAGCTAGTACCAGTCAAATGTTAGGACACACCTACTCATTCAAGGGTTTTTCTTTATTTTTACTATTTTCTACATTGTAGAATAATAGTGAAGACATCAAAACTATGAAATAACACATATGTAGTAACCAAAAAAGTGTTAAACAAATCAAAATATATTTTATAATTGAGATTCTTCAAAGTAGCCACCCTTTGCCTTGATGACAGCTTTACACACTCTTGGTATTCTCTCAACCAGCTTCATGAGGTAGTCACCTGGAATGCATTTCAATTAACAGGTGTGCCTTCTTAAAAGTTCATTTGTGGAATTTCTTTCCTTCTTAATGTGTTTGAGCCAATCAGTTGTGTTGTGACAAGGTAGGGGGGTATACAGAAGATAGCCCCATTTGGTAAAAGACCAAATCCATTTTATGGCAAGAACAGCTCAAATAAGCAAAGAGAAACGACAGTCCATCATTACTCTAAAGGGAAATGGAAACACTTTAGGAAGTAAATCTAAGCAAAGAGATGTATTCAATCCACTAATACTAAACATGTGCATTTAATATATATATATATATTTTATATTTAGTATTTTGATCGTCGACAAGGTTTATTTGAGCTATGGTCAGCGTCATTTTAAATTGCCATAGTAACGACTGACGCCAGTGCGTCACAGGCAGGAATCATCTAATTGTCTGTGGCATTGAGTTTTCGCGCAGAGAGTGACTCGAAGACAGTGAGGTTAGGTGCGGACAAGAAGTAGTAAATCAAACATGAACTGTATAGCGCCTGGCTGTATGAATTGGCGGCAAAAAAAATTCCATCGATAAGCTACCATCGGCTGCCGAAGGACCCACAACTTTTGAAAAAGTGTCTCCATGTCCTGAAGAGGACAGACGTGCCAGCTCGAGCTAGCAGGATCTGCAGACAGCACTTTGCGGAGGCAGACTTCGCGATTTCAGGCACTTTCGATGCGGCAACCGGGAGTTTCCGAATGGAAAGGAGTCATAGGCCTACAATGAAGGCATCTGCTTGCGCCTCCATTTGAAATTTCGAGGGTTATGGTGTTTATTTTATTTTATTTATTTCAACTTTATTTAACCAGGTAAGCCAGTTGAGAACAAGTTCTCATTTACAACTGCGACCTGGCCAAGATAAAGCAAAGCAGTGCGATAAAAACAACAACACAGAGTTACATATGGGGTAAAACAAAACAAAGTCAAAAATACAACAGAAAAATATATATACAGTGTGTGCAAATGTAGCAAGTTATGGAGGTAAGGCAATAAATAGGCTATAGTGCAAAATAATTACAATTAGTATTAACACTGGAATGATAGATGTGCAAGAGATGATGTGCAAATAGAGATACTGGGGTACAAATGAGCAAAATAAATAACAATATATGTGTACAGGTGCAGTGATCGGTAAGGTGCTCTGACAACTGATGCTTAAAGTTAGTGAGGGAGATAAGTGTCTCCAGCTTCAGAGATTTTTGCAATTTGTTCCAGTCATTGGCAGCAGAGAACTGGAAGGAATGGTGGCCAAAGGAGGTGTTGGCTTTGGGGATGACCAGTGAGATATACCTGCTGGAGCGCATACTACGGGTGGGTGTTGCTATGGTGACCAATGAGCTAAGATAAGGCGGGGATTTGCCTAGCAGTGATTTATAGATGGCCTGGAGCCAGTGGGTTTGGCGACGAATATGTAGTGAGGACCAGCCAACAAGAGCGTACAGGTCACAGTGGTGGGTAGTATATGGGGCTTTGGAGACAAAACGGATGGCACTGTGATAGACTACATCCAATTTGCTGAGTAGAGTGTTGGAGGCTATTTTGTAAATGACATCGCTGAAGTCAAAGATCGGTAGGATAGTCAGTTTTACGAGGGCATGTTTGGCAGCATGAGTGAAGGAGGCTTTGTTGCGAAATAGGAAACCGATTCTAGATTTAACTTTGGATTGGAGATTCTTAATGTGAGTCTGGAAGGAGAGTTTACAGTCTAACCAGACACCTAGGTATTTGTAGTTGTCCACATACTCTAGGTCAGACCCGTCGAGAGTAGTGATTCTAGTCGGGTGGGTGGGTGCGAGCAGTGTTCGGTTGAAGAGCATGCATTTAGTTTTACTAGTGTTGAAGAGCAGTTGGAGGCTACTGAAGGAGTGTTGTATGGCATTCAAGCTCGTTTGGAGGTTTGTTAACACAGTGTCCAATGAAGGGCCAGATGTATACAAAATGGTGTCGTCTGCGTAGAGGTGGATCTGAGAGTCACCAGCAGCAAGAGCGACATCATTGATATACACAGAGAAAAGAGTCGGCCCAAGAATTGAACCCTGTGGCACCCCCATAGAGACTGCCATAGGTCCAGACAACAGGCCCTCCGATTTGACACATTGAACTCTATCTGAGAAGTAGTTGGTGAACCAGGCGAGGCAGTCATTTGAGAAACCAAGGCTATTTACTCTGCCAATAAGAATGCGGTGGTTGACAGAGTCGAAAGCCTTGGCCAGGTCAATGAAAACGGCTGCACAGTACTGTCTATTATCGATCGCGGTTATAATATCGTTTAGGACCTTGAGCGTGGCTGAAGTGCACCCATGACCAGCTCGGAAACCGGATTGCATAGCGGAGAAGGTACGGTGGGATTCGAAATGGTCGGTGATCTGTTTGTTAACTTGGCTTTCAAAAACTTTTGAAGGGCAGGATGGATATAGGTCTGTAACAGTTTGGATCTAGAGTGTCACCCCCTTTGAAGAGGGGGATGACCGCGGCAGCTTTCCAATCTCTGGGGATCTCAGACGTTACGAAAGAGAGGTTGAACAGGCTAGTAATAGGGGTTGCGACAATTTCGGCGGCTAGTTTTAGAAAGAAAGGGTCCAGATTGTCTAGCCCAGATGATTTGTAGGGGTCCAGATTTTGCAGCTCTTTCAGAACATCAGCTGTCTGGATTTGTGTGAAGGAGAAGCGGGGGGGGGGCATGGGCAAGTTGCAGCGGAGGGTGCAGAGCTGGTGGCCGGGGTAGTGGTAGCCAGGTGGAAAGCATGGCCAGCCGTAGCAAAATGCTTGTTGAAATTCTCGATTATTGTAGATTTATCGGTGGTGATAGTGTTTCCTAGCCTCAGTGCAGTGGGCAGCTGGGAGGAAGTGCTCTTATTCTCCATGGACTCCATGGTGTAGGGCAGGGTTCTTCAATTCCGGTCCTGGAGGGCCGAAACACCTCTGTTTTTCATCCTCTCCTTCTAATCAGGGGCTAATTCAGACCTGGGACACCAGGTGAGTGCAATTAACTACCAGGTAGAAATATAAAACAGAAGTGTTTCGGCCCTCCAGGACCGGAATTGAAGAACCCTGGTGTAGGTTACCGGCCGACCATCATCAACATCACTGACTTCGGAGTCAAGCAAAAGCAAGACTGAACGGAGGAGGCGACGCGAGTCATTGCAATGGAGCCTGAGGTAACGTTAACCGGTCATGACTGTTGTTGACTAGGCTAGCATTAGACACTGGACAACTTTGTTGCAACTCCAGTTGAAGTTAACTAGCTAATTGCGTCTGAAGTGTTTTGTGTAACATCCCCAGCAAAGAACGTTAGCAAGCAATTCAACTGCAACTAAAATTGCAACAGTTTCTCCGTGTCCCCTGTTGTTAGGTAGTTACTGTAGCTAGCTTCCGCCTCAGATTTTGTTGACTGATTTTATAATAATAATAATAATAATAATATGGATTTTATTTTGTTTTTGTAATGTTTTGTTAGCGCCACCTCATTTAGCTAGACTGAAGTTGACATAGCTAATGTTTGCTGAAAAACATGTCCCTGTATTTGCTGTGTGTGTGTTGACAAAGCATACAAGACAGGTAGCTTGTTAATGCCAACTAATATATTTGGGTTCAGTTGTCTTAACAAAACGTTTGTTTGTTTTCAGGATGACATCTTCATCCCTGAAAAGGTTTTCATCCTGGAGGAGACTGCAGGAGGCAGAGGAGGTACATGTAAATCCATGCTATTTCTAAGGCTATTATTTATTTCAAGACACAATCTGTCATCCCTGAGGCCATTTTGGATATAAAATGGACAATATACAGTATATGCAGTGGTTCTTGAATATAACTATAGCCTAATAGATGCCTTAATTGTTTTCTACCAACAGGAAAGAACTGTTAGTACAGCATGCCAAACTGACCCCTGGGTACCAGAGTGTTCCTGTGCTGCAGTGGAGAAGAGGTCCACCGGGACCATCACTAAAGAGCTCGGGGCCCAGCTAGACTGCGCTCACGACCATCAGTATACAACCGAGTCCTGCCCCTATACGCCACAGATGGAGCTGACGAAGAGTGAGATCAGTGAAGACCATAACTCGCTGTATGAACCTGAGAGCTCAGAATCACAATCATCATAGTGCGAGCCAAGATATACTATCGATCACTTTGGGGGAGCGGGCTGGTGTTTTGAAAATGGAGAAGGAGCAGGCCATTCAACAGCGAATTCAAAGATAGACACATCCATAAAGGGAATCGTAGGGGAATTGTTTTTCCATGTGTTATTTCATAGTTTTAATGTCTTCACTATTTTTTTACCCGTTTCAACGGATGTGCTGCCTTGTCCCGGTCCTGCTGTTTCGACTCTCTCTCAAGCCATGAAAAGCCAACTGACATTTGCTCCAGAGGTGTTGAACTGTTGCACCCTCTATAACCACTGTGGTTATTATTTTGATGTAAAAAGGGCTTTTGTAAAATACATTTGATTGATTATTTTCTGTGCAGGATGCTGTGTATTCACTAACTGTCTGAGTGATGAGACATTTTTATAGTATCTGTAACATATTTGGTGTGTATTTAATCTGCATCTTAACTTCTTAAAGTGGCAAACAATAACAAAGTGTCTTCCTGCTCCTCTTTTGGTAAAAACCTGAGGGATGGGGCTGGAGAAATGTAACCACTCTCAAATTCATAGACAGCTATAGATGAAAGGACTGTCCATCCATGATATCAAAATTGTAATCCTGTTTCTATGATCTGTTTCCACTACCATGTACCCAGTTCTCTTTGGATAAAGGCATCTGCTAAATGGCATATATTATAAAAGTCTACCATTCCTTTCCAATAGATGGCAGCCAAAGCTAGTTGAAGTCACTTCTCTAGCGACAGGGACACAGGGTTAGTGCGCGTTGAAAGTAGTTTTATCTTCAAAGCAAGTTTCTGGTTACGCTTGAACCTGTTGTTATAGTAGACAAGCTAAGTAATACTCTTTTTACATAAGATACAGGCATTAGGTCTATGTCTTGAAAAAAAATTACAGCAGGCTAGATTTACTAAATGAACTGGTTCTTCTATTCAAACTCAAACCCTACGTAAATGCCTTTGCTTCTGGGTATGTGCGCCTTATGGAAGAAACGACACACACAGGGATGAGACGCCGTCCATCTCGTCCAATTATCCTTTGTTCCCATAGGGTGAACTGGCGATAAACTGCCAGCCTATATGCTCTGCAAACAAAATCATAAGAAAAGTTAGTCTGATACCGAAACTAAATCATAATGTATTTATAATGGTTAGAATGAGATTTCATGAATCATTATGCTGTCTGCGATTCGAACTCCGGTCGTCTAACCAAAAGGTAAATGTGTTACCATCGCGCCAAACACTGATGATGATGATAAACAGCGTTATAGGATACTGCCTATATATATTTCGCACCCACCCACTACTGATATTAACCTTAAAGAATTTATAATCAAGGAAAATGTCTGCAATTATTTAACTGGCATATCGGCTGCTGACTGGTCGAGTAACCTCTTCTGCCAGGAAGTCCTTCATAGGGATTAGTGACACGTCCAATAAATACATCGCCATCCAGACAGACTGACAGGAACCTCAGACTGGATGCAATACAGCCACCATCCGTTGGGATTTTGTGCTGTATCGCCACCATCTCTCTACAACACACACACTCATACTCTAGTCATTATCTGGCAGCATCCGGACTCACACCAGTTTGTGTCACCGCTACGCAGACCCTCTAGCTGAGGTGTTTCAGGCGGTATATCTGTGTTGTTAATGCTACGAGAACAAACTGTGATCAGGTGCAACGATCGGCTCAAACATGAACGGCTTCAGTAGGTTTATTGGCTCTCTAACATTATTTCATTATCGGTAATAAACTTATTCTCAGACTCGGAGCTACTCAGTAAATTCAGCCATTTTTGGGAGTTCCAACATTTTCTCTCCTGCCAGTGACGCAACAATGCCAATATGGTGATTTACAGTTACAGTTAGCTGGCGTTCTAAATCCTAGTGTTTCCATTCCCCTTTAAGACATGGTCTGTCAATCCAGAAAATTTCAAGAACTTTTAAAGTTTCTTCAAGTGCAGTTGCAAAAACCATCAAGCGCTATGATGAAACTGGCTCTCATGAGGACCGCCACAGGAAAGGAAGACCCAGAGTTACCTCTGCTGCAGTGGATAAGTTCATTAGAGTTAGGCTAACTGCACCTCAGATTGCAGCCCAAATAAATGCTTCACAGAGTTCAAGTAACAGACACATTTCAACATCAACTGTTCAGAGAAGACTGCGTGAAACAGGCCTTCATGGTCGAATTGCTGCAAAGAAACCACTACTAAAGGACACCAATAAGAAGAAGAGACTTGCTTGGGCCAAGAAACACGAGCAATGGCCATTGACCAGTGGAAATCTGTCCTTTGGTCTGACGAGTCCAAATGTGAGATTTTTGGTTCCAACCGCCGTGTCTTTGTGAGATGCAGAGTAGGTGAACGGATGATCTCTGGATGTGTGGTTCCCACCGTGAAGCATGGAGGAGGAGGTGTGATGGTGCTTTGCTGGTGACACTGTCAGTGATTTCTTTAGAATTCAAGGCACACTTAACCAGCATGGCTACCACAGCATTCTGCAGTGATACGCCATCCCATCTGGTTTGCGCTTAGTGAGACTATAATTTGTTTTCCAACAGGACAATGACCCAAAACAGAACTCCAGGCTGTGTAAGGGCTATTTCACCAAGAAGGAGAGTGATGTAGTGCTGCAATTGAGATGGTTTGGGATGAGTTGGACAGCAGAGTGAAGGAAAAACAGCCAACAAGTGCTCAGCATATGTGGGAACTCCTTCAAGACTGTTGTAAAAGCATTCCTCATGAAGCTGGTTGAGAGAATGCCAAGAGTGTGAAATGCTGTCATCAAGGCAAAGAGTGGCTACTTTGAAGAATCTCAAATATAAAATATATTTTGATTTGTTTAAGACTTGTTGGTTAATACATGATTCCATATGTGTTATTTCATAGTTTTGATGTCTTCAATATTATTCTACAATGTAGAAAATAGTAAAAATAAAGAAAAACCCTTGAATGAGTAGGTGTGTCCAAACTTTTGACTGGTACTGTACATATTTTCAATTGTAACTCAATTTCATTCGCAAAGTTTTGATAGTTCACATGAAAAGAGAAAGATGCTTGATGTCCACATACAGTGAGGGAAAAAAGTATTTGATCCCCTGCTGATTTTGTACGTTTGCCCACTGACAAAGAAATGATCAGTCTATAATTTTAATGGTAGGTTTATGTGAACAGTGAGAGACAGAATAACAACAACAAAATCCAGAAAAACGCATGTCAAAAATGTTATACATTGATTTGCATTTTAAATGAGGGAAATAAGTATTTGACCCCCCTCTCAATCAGAAAGATTTCTGGCTCCCAGGTGTCTTTTATGCAGGTAACGAGCTGAGATTAGGAGCACACTCTTAAAAGGAGTGCTCCTAATCTCAGTTTGTTACCTGTATAAAAGTCACCTGTCCACAGAAGCAATCAATCAATCAGATTCCAAACTCTCCACCATGGCCAAGACCAAAGAGCTCTCCAAGGATGTCAGGGACAAGATTGTAGACCTACACAAGGCTGGAATGGGCTACAAGACCATCGCCAAGCAGCTTGGTGAGAAGGTGACAACAGTTGGTGCGATTATTCGCAAATGGAAGAAACACAAAATAACTGTCAAACTCCCTCGGCCTGGGGCTCCATGCAAGATCTCACCTCGTGGAGTTGCAATGATCATGAGAACGGTGAGGAATCAGCCCAGAACTACACGGGAGGATCTTGTCAATGATCTCAAGGCAGCTGGGACCATAGTCACCTAGAAAACAATTGGTAACACACTACGCCGTGAAGGACTGAAATCCTGCAGCGCCCACAAGGTCCCCCTGCTCAAGAAAGCACATACACAGGCCCGTCTGAAGTTTGCCAATGAACATTTGAATGATTCAGAGGAGTACTGGGTGAAAGTGTTGTGGTCAGATGAGACCAAAATCGAGCTCTTTGGCATCAACTCAACTCGCCGTGTTTGGAGGAGGAGGAGGAATGCTGCCTATGACCCCAAGAACACCATCCCCACCGTCAAACATGGAGGTGGAAACATTATGCTTTGGGGGTGTTTTTCTGCTAAGGGGACAGGACAACTTCACTGCATCAAAGGGACGATGGACGGCGCCATGTACCGTCAAATCTTGGGTGAGAACCTCCTTCCCTCAGCCAGGGCATTGAAAATGGGTCGTGGATGGGTATTCCAGCATGACAATGACCCAAAACACACGGCCAAGGCAACAAAGGAGTGGCTCAAGAAGAAGCACATTAAGGTCCTGGAGTGGCCTAGCCAGTCTCCAGACCTTAATCCCATAGAAAATCTGTGGAGGGAGCTCAAGGTTCGAGTTGCCAAACGTCAGGCTCGAAACTTTAATGACTTGGAGAAGATCTGCAAAGAGGAGTGGGACAAAATCCCTCCTGAGATGTGTGCAAACCTGGTGGCCAACTACAAGAAACGTCTGACCTCTGTGATTGCCAACAAGGGTTTTGCCACCAAGTACTAAGTCATGTTTTGCAGAGGGGTCAAATACTTATTTCCCTCATTAAAATGCAAATCAATTTATAACATTTTCGACATGCGTTTTTCTGGATTTTTTTGTTGTTATTCTGTCTCTCACTGTTCAAATAAACCTACCATTAAAATTATAGACTGATCATGTCTTTGTCAGTGGGCAAACGTACAAAATCAGCAGGGGATCAAATACTTTTTTCCCTCACTGTACTGTAGTTCAGATATATGACTAGGGATGCACTGACAAACCCTGTTTAGTACCATTTCCCTTATATATACTGCATATACTGCTGACACAATTAAAAAGTGTGCTTCAGGTTCCAGTCTCATTGGATCACTAAGATATCATCCATGCCTATGATTCCTTCAGTATATTCAAATAATATTCACAAGACTCAACAGCTTTATAATAATTTGTCCTTTCACCTGCAACAGCAGTCATCCGTGGTCTTAAATTGGGTACACTCCAGACCATCTGACTGTTGTGTCAATAACAAGTCTGTTTGGACTGAAAGGAGACAGGATTCTTTGGATAGATTATGTGGCTAACAATGACCTAAAATGAGACGGCAATGTTCATCCATGTCATTCTACTCTATGGTGCTTTATTACATTTTCTGCCTCAGTACATCAGTTACTGAAACGACCTGAGGGCATATTCTTACCTTCTGGTATTTGTGAGGGTAGGTAAACCTTTCAATAGTGGTCTGGATGGCCCCTCGGTTCACACTGCCCAGCCTGTCCTCCAGCTGCAGTAGCTCCTACAGGCAACACATGGGGAAAGACCGTGAAACATCTGGAACAAGCATTTGTCTCTACTTCAGCAATGTAGGATTTCAAGGGTTATTTTAGGTCAAGACACTTCATTAATACTGGCTCTTATTTCAGTCTGATAAAAACGACAAATGAACAAAGCAAAATAAAACAATAGCTTTTCGATTCAGAAGCATCTGGAGAACAGAACTAGCGGAAAAGAGAAGAGCAGTCCCACATGAGGCTGTCCACAGCATTGGTCACAGAGAGGCAGGGACGGATGCGTGAGGACAGCCGTGTGATTACCAGAGAGTGTGTGTGTGTGTGTGTCGGGGTGACAGTGTGACAGGGTTGATTGGAGTTGGCCGTGTGACTGGGATGACAGTACCTCGTAGCTCTCTCTCACAGCGGATGCGTGGCGGGAGGGGTTGAGGCCCTGCAGAGCCAGCAGGTGTAACTGAGGATACGGGTAGTTTCTGATCTCATGGACAACCTGGAGAGAAAATACAGAGAGACTGGATACATTCTCCTCAACTCATCTCTTAGAAAACATATTTGAATTTCATACAGATGCCAGCCATCCCTGAACCCGGTCTCTACAATGATCTATGGTGTTAAGACCAAATCAAACACTCCAGGTGGTACAACAAATATGGACGCCATCAGTGCACAGATCATGAAACATCGCTTTAATTGTAAATGTATATTCTGTTAATTTAAATATTATGGCAAAATAGTTGTGATGATCTCACCACATGAGTGGAGGCGTTGTTCCTGGGGAAGTGATGCATCCTGGGAGATGTCAGGTAGTGCTGGGGCAGCGGGCGGACGTGGTACTGAGGAGGAGGCAGCCCTGTGTCCACACTCAAATCCCTGACCAACCACACAACACAGAAGGAGAGATGAGAGAGGAACCAGTTAAACACAGACCCAACAACAATCATTAACATGATTGTCCTTGGATTACATCATGCCTGTGGGAGCGGGTGACTCAAATTAGAAAATTAAGATTTCCACAGTCCAGGAGTAATGTATTAGACTTAAATTGATACTTCAGGATGTTGGCAATGAGGCCCTTTATCTACTTCCCCAGAGTCAAATGAACTTGTGAATACCATTTGTATGTCTCTGTGTCCAGTATGAAGGAAGTTAGAGGTAGTTTCGCAAGCCAATGCTAACTAGAGTTAGCGCAATGACTGGAAGTCTATGGGTATCTGCTAGCATGCTACCTCTAACTTCCTTTATACTGGATGACAAAGACATACAAATGGTATCCACAAGTTCATCTGACTTTGGGGAAGTAGATAAAGGGCATCTTTGCCAGAATCCTGAAGTATCCCTTTAACTATGAAGCCACATTATTGTATGAGTGCAAGCTGGCGTCTTACCAGTCTGTGCCTTCGGCCAGGTAGCGAGGCTGCTGGGCCGCAGGCTGTGGGGGGACGTGGAGGGCAGGAGCAAACTCGTAACCCGGGCGCAGTCTGTGGGGCTGGTGTCTGCTGACAGAGGACAACCAAATAAGGTTTCTGTACACATGATATTCCATGCCAGATGTTGTGTGGATCTACAGATCCAATGGGCTCCCGAGTGGCGAAGGTCTAAGGTACTGCCTCTCAGTGCTAGTGGCGTCACTACAGACCCTGGTTCAATTCCAGGCTATATCACAATTGGCTGTGATTGGGAGTCCCATAGGGCGGCGCACAATTGGCCCAGCATTGTCCGGGTTTGGCTGGGGTAGGCAGTCATTGTAAATAATAATTTGTTCTTGACTTGCCTGGTTAAATAACAATGGAAATTTGGACTCAATTTGAAAGCACTTTTGAGGTGTGAAAACACATGCTAAACTTTGGGGTGAACTACCCCTTTACCAGGGGCACATTAATATAATTAGCCTCAAACTATACAGCAGTTGTTCGTACAAACCTTGACTTTTCTATAGCTTATGGAGGTACCCTAGTTACTATGGGAGTGAAACCAGGTTCCCATACCTGGAAGGTGGCATGATGCGCCGGTGCTGGGCCTCTAGAATCTGCTGCTGGAGGAGGTACTGCTGGTGTAAGGCCGGAGGTAGGAAAGGGTGGACAGAGAGGTCCTGGAACTGGGGCGCGGGGGGTAGGGGGTTGAGTGGCGGGTGGAGCTGGGGAGAATGCTGGTGGCCAGGGGGAGCCAGGTGGGGGTTGATGCCCGACTGGGGCTGACCTGGGTGGGGCATTGGGAAGTCAATGGGTAGCTGGGCCTGGGGGCCTAGCTGGAAGTGCCGGCAAGAGGTAGCATGGCTATGTTGCTGCCGGTTAAAGTGGGATCCTGTGGAAACAATGAGAGGGAGTCAGACACCTGAGAGAGAGAAACGGTAGGTTAGAATTGATTGTGTATTAGACATGGTGTGTGTGTGATTCTGTGATGTAATTGTGTTTCTGTAGGAGGATCTTAACAGAAGCCCTAACTCTTACCTATGGTGAAACTTACATCAGGGGATAGGGAGATATGGTGAAGTAACACATTCAATCCTGCATGGAAAATGTTAATATTTCCAAACATGAATGGTCTTTTATGGCATCATGTCACATTTGACCCTCTGGTTGGATTCTCACCTCTGGGCATCTGACTCTTCGGCAATGTACACGCCCAGGACTGTGCATTTAAATTGTGTAACAAAGCTTTTCAAATTAATTAATTAACCATGTGTACCGGTAATATATCTGAATGACCTTGAATCCCTTTGATAGAAGTGCTGCCAGAATTGTTCTGTAATATATCTGAATGACCTTGAATCCCTTTGATAGAAGTGTTCGGTTATATATCTGAATGACCTTGAATCCCTTTGATAGAAGTGCTGCCAGAAGTGTTCTGTAATATATCTGGATGACCTTGAATCTCTTTGATAGAAGCGCTGCCAGAAGTGTTCTGTAATATATCTGAATGACCTTGAATCCCTTTGATAGAAGTGTTCTGTTATAGCTGGATGACCTTGAATCCCTTTGATAGAAGTGCTGCCAGAAGTGTTCTGCAACTTCAAGATCTACAGTGTGACATTCTGATGAATGACATCATTGATCCACAATAGGACAAAATACATAACATCTGTTCCTAAGATGTTTTTTTCCCCCTTCTTCTAATGACACTAAAACTGTTAATCCTTTATAGTCACTGAGGATTTTAACAATGTGATAGCATTGCTGTGAGTGAGTCCTTTTTCTAACTTTTTCACCTGCTGAACTGTGGGTAACATTATATAGCACAACATCAATGATGTGTCTGTTGATCTATCACTACCCAGAAATCTCTAACAGCAAATGCCAAGGCCTAGGCTACATAAAGCCTACAACATTTTTGTCTATCTCCTTCCAGAAATCAAAATCGATTTAAATACTGCCTAGGCCTGTATCTATCTCTTAGTCTCACTCAGACACACAGTGCTACCCAAAGCTTTCCCATGTGTAGATTCCTTGGTGCAGGGGAAAATAGCTTGGCAGTACTTTTTCCCCTCTTCCAACCACAGATATTTGGCAGCTGAAGAGAACATGTTGCTGTTGAGGCTTGAGGGTGAGAATCAGATACTAGTACAGTGCACTACAGTTACAGTACACTGTCTAGGTTTCCATACCTAATAGGGCTGACAATTCTAATGGAAATAACATTGATTATTGATAGGAATGGATTGCAATTTAATTGAAGAAAGCCTAGGCTACATTGATGGCAATATGACAAAATATGTTTGAAAGGGGAGAACACAATTTATATGAGGAGATTTCGTAGTCAGTGACATGTTTTCCATTGCGGTAAAATGTATTTTGGACTCGAGCAGCAAGAGAAGTCCTGGAAAAAGAACATCAAACAAATGTAAACTAAATCTATCCACTGAGCTATATGCAGCTCAGCACAAACACTGTGGGACAGACCTACATCTAGGCCTTTGTGAAAGTCACCTTCAACTTTTCTAACATGAAGAACATGCTAAAGTGTTGGTGGAAGAGTGGATAACACATTCAGATGAAAACAGGTGAAAGCCCTACAATTGAGAAATAGGCCAACGTCTACATTGCATTTTGGGTCATTAAGTTGGAGTAGACTTGAAGGTGCAGTGCTACAAAATGCTTTGTAAAATAGTCAAGGCTCTGTAATCTTTCAGAAACATCTGATTGGGGTGGGTTATTTTTTATGTCACATTCAGCTCATAACCAGTCACTAATTAATCAGAATGGTTAAATCCTAATAGAGTAGCATTTGATCCAAGGCTTAGGATCAACAGTGGCACACTGCACTTTCAATTGTCTCAGTGGTACAATCACTATGAATGACAGGGGATAGACTCATTCAGGCCTTGTGATGATAAAAGCCTTGAAATCGTCTATCTTCGTCACAGCGGGAGAGGAGGTGGGTGGGGTGGAGGGGGGCAGGTAGGGACGAGGGGAGGTCTAAAGACAATAAATGGAAATCAGCAAGAAGCACACTGAAGGTTAGGAAAAATACTATATTCTTTATTGAAAAATATTAGTTTGTGGAATTTGTGTTTTTGTAATAATGATAATAATATAAATACCATGCAACAAAAATAAACAACATTGACTGAAGGCAAGGCCCACCATGCTCCATATAGGGTTAATAAGAACAAAAGCAGCATCTAATGAGCAGATGTGGTTGGCTACAGCACAGTACAGCAGGGTACATCTTTACTACAGAAAGATTACATTGGAATTTACTATTCAATGTAAAAAACAAAATAATATGAATCATAATGTGACCATGCATTGAAAGTACCATTACCAGAACAAAAAGGTAAAGAGAGACCACAACCAAACAATAAAAAGACGTTATTACTCTACTAGAAGATTTACTGTAGCAGTGCAGGAGATAAGCATCCCTGTGAAATGGATAGCATTTTGTACTTTTTGTTAGTGGGGAGGATCATTGGGAAGTGATGAACAACCAGTGAGAGTATCTACTACTACTTATAGCATTATGATTTGGTTTCAGCTTTAGTGAGCAAAAGGCCTGATAATTCAGTGTGTTTCATAGATTTTAATTTTCAAGAAGAACAAAAGGGTTACACAAATGGAGGCGGTTATGACAGGTTGTCGGGAAGAGGTGAAGTGTACCAGTATTTATACAATTTTGATGTGTTGTCTATTTTGAAATCACTCAGATGACCACATGAGGATAATTATAATTGTGTGTGTGATCATATTCAATGAAATATGACAGTGCATATGCTTTACATGTAAAAAATGCCAATTGGAGCATTAGATACTATTACTTAGCTAAATTTGTACAATGCACCTTCCATGGAGAAAATAAGGAAATGAACCAAATTCTGGTGTTCAGTAAAGCAGTGCAGAAATAGAATCCATGCTAAATGTATCCACTTTACAGGGATTTACAGTAGGCTATGTTGTCATTATCAAGACTGGATGGGAGGTACACAATGACATTCATTTGATTCTCTATAAGAGCTAAAATGGGTTAACTCTACAACAACTTGACAAAGACACAACAAGTTATCCTATAGGTGTTAGTTATTTGTTTTAGTTTTTCCACATATACTCTATGGTTGAATTATACATTGTTTAAAAAATATATATATATACACCAATGTTGTCTTCTGATGGAAAGAGGAAATGAAGAAGGGATTCAATACAGCTAAATGCAGAGAACAGGCAGAGGCCACGCCACACCACACAGCAGCAGATGATCATTAGCTACACAATGGGAGGGACGACAAAGATCTGATAAATGCAGAATGTAGAGCCAGCCTCGAAACTATGAAACAGGAAATAAGAACAGAAATAAAAGCACAATGTGAAATAAATGATGCCACTCTATGAACTTAATACACTACACTGTAGCCTAGATGGTTTATGCAACTGTATGTTTTGGTACTGAATCAATGGAAAATGACTGTCTAAAATCACCTGGTGGATCAGCCTGGTCTCATAGACTAGACGTAACATAGTAAAGGTACATCTGGGACACTTAAATTTGTATGATATGTTACGTTTGGTATGGTTACATAAGACAGATGGTTACTTAAGGCAAAATCTAAAGTAGGGTGGTTGGTCAGGTGGCCGTATAACGTGAATGTCAAACAACCCAAAGGTTGCGAGTTCGAATCTCATTCCAGATAACTTTAGCAACTTTTCAACTAATTACTAGCTACTTTGCAACTACTTAGCATGTTAGCTAACCCTTAACCTAACTACTAAACTCAACCCTAACCCCTAGCCTAGCTAACGTTAGCCAGCTAGCTATAATTCGTAACATATTGTACGTCTTGCTAATTCTTAACATAATACGAATTGTAATTTGTAACATATCATACGAATTGGGCGATGGACATCCACACCATACATAACATATCATAGTAAATATATGTCTCTGATTTATTGTGAATACAGAATAATACGAAATCTCAGACCAGGTTGGGTCAATAGCTCATTTTGAAGATTTGAAAAACAACCTACATAACTAGCTAATTTAGCTACGTGTTTAAAGATCTTCCTGACATTTTTAAATATGACAATTTAGCCTGTTTGTTAGCCAGTAGTTGCGATATAGCTAACATTATTTAGCTAGCTAGCTAATTGAATTAGTCGTGAAATCCTCTTGGCAAACAGTAAAGATTATCTTCAAATGACATCATCCTGGGATTAAATAGATTCTCCCTACAAAGAGACCGAGATAGCATTTTGCCAGCTAACTAACCTTCAAACAAGTTTAAACAGGTTTCACGCATTCCTCTCTGTTGTCTGACATTTCACCCCTTCCATTAATGTCAATGGGTATGCTTATAAGTATGTATTGAAATAGAGCTGACTAGCTACAATATATAATATCAAAAAATTGCGAAACGTTTAACGGTAGCTAGCTAGCGTTAGTTAGCTAAATAGCATCGGTCAACGCGCGTCCTAGTTAGAAATTAGCTAGCTAACGTTAGTTAGCTATCAACAGCTACCTGAAAAGGCAATATATTTGTATATAAGATCAGGCCCATACTACCAAAATGTGTAGTATGGTCTTGCAATTGTTAATAAAATGTAACGTTAGCTAACTGAAGCGAATGAGAACATAATAGCCTTGTATGGCAAACATACTGTTTTGTCCTAGCTAGCTATCATTAGCTTTATATAGAACGGAACAGCTGTTTGGTAGCCAGCTAGGTAGTTGGCTCAGCGCTGGACAACAACACAGTCGCTTACTAGTGTTGGAATGGATTCTAAAAGAGATTTTCCGACTAGGTTAGCGAGCAGCTTCGGTGATATTAAGATGAACAGGGCACACGTAATTGTTAAAGATAAATATATATAAATACCTCTATTTCTTACTGAGCCAAATACAGGAAGAACCAGATATCCGACATGCACTAAAACCATTATTGGATCCTTGTCTTGCCGCTGGGTTGATGAGAGAAATAGCCCATGCAGATGATCCGTTCCAACCTACATTCAAGCAGTTCTAGCACTGGGCTGGCAGGCAACTGCTTCGTTGACAAAGCGTCGATGGCTCGGTATTATTACGTTTAGGAAATATGAAGTACCACACATGGCCATAGGTTGTGCCAAATCACCAATAAATGTTTTTCAGGCCCACTATGATCGATAGAGAGCGCTATTGTACCACTCATACATAGCAGCTGAAAAGTGAACTCCGCTGCAGTAGATGGCAGTAATCCTTTGAAATGACAGGCTGTCATCACGGATGACATAAAAAGAAGAAGAACGGATTCTTTTTAGGTCATTCGCATACGTAGGACACCCTCTAAGTACAACTAGTTGGTCTTTGCAGGTGGTGGAGGACAAGTCACATTCGCCCATTAGAGATGTTATCCGTGCGAGTTGCAGCGGCTCTGGCCAGAAGCCTGCCCAGACAGGCTGGATTTGTGAGTATTTATTTGGTTGTGGAATAGAAGACAATTTGCAGTGCACGAATTAAAATGTCAATGTAGTGGGTGTATGAAGGGTAGGCCTACAGGCCGCCACCTTCACATGCTCGTCTAGAACGTTATGTCCCAGTAAGGCAACGCATTCCACTCGACCTACTGTCTTGATATTTATTTGATGACGTTACATCGCTGGATTTTATAACTCGTTCATTGCACATTTCATCTAGTTTTGCCCTTTCAATGCGCTAATGCGCGCTTGAACTACACTGCGGTCCCATAAAATGGCTGTGCTAGTTAGGTAGTTTAGCATGCTATCCGATAGCTAGCTAAGCTCTGTGAAGGTCAGGATCGTTTACATACAGAATGCTCTGTCTTGTATACACCATACATTTCTTAAATTATATTTAGCTAACTGCAGTGTAGTTATTTGCTTTGAAATATGTGTTTGTAGGTGTGGCATAACTGGTTTTGGATTATTCAAAGGCCAGCTGTCAAAAGAAAGAGGACATCTTGCGGACAACCTAGCTAGCTAACTTTGGGGCATATGTCATGTTTTGATTTCAGTTCATTGTAACGCAACTAGCGATTCCAATATACATCGTGCGATTTATTTACCATTGCATCATACAGTAACACTGGTCTTGAACAATAACTGATCATGCTCTCATTCATTCTAGGTGGCCAAGAATGTTGCCGCCGCCACCAGCGTAGGAGTGAATCACCTCCACACACATAGACCATGTCTTGCTGCAAAGACTGGTGCGTAGAGAGAATGGGGGCTCAATGACTGACTCAACGAATGACCTTTAGTTATTGACACTTACTATTTGGGTCAGAAATCCTGTTTTTCCACAATGTACCTCTTGTAATGAGCAGGGGACATCAGGATGTAATGACATTTGAAAACACAATAAAATTGCTGCTACCATTTCCCCCTGTACAAATGTATAAAAGGGATTCCTCTATGGCTATATTATACTAACAAAACCAAGGAGATATGTTGACTTCCTGTTTTGATGAGCGGATTCTTCCTACCAGGCACGGCTGAGGTGTCCTCAATCTTGGAGGAGAAGATCCTGGGTGCTGACACCAGTGCTGCTCTTGAGGAGACTGGCCGTGTGCTCTCCATCGGTGATGGTATTGCCAGAGTGTACGGTCTCAGGAATGTTCAGGCTGAGGAGATGGTGGAGTTCTCCTCTGGGCTCAAGGTGCAGATCTAGACAGTTTAAGAATCTTTAACTGAACCATGTTGCAGTGGAAGCGCTTGTTCTGTTCAACCTAACCACTGTCGTCAATCAGCATAATTTGAACAATGTGTTCTATCATCTTCTAGGGTATGTCTCTGAACTTGGAGCCTGACAATGTTGGTGTTGTGGTGTTCGGTAATGACAAGCTGATCAAAGAGGGCGACATCGTGAAGAGGACTGGTGCCATCGTGGACGTGCCAGTTGGTGAGGAGCTGCTGGGTCGCGTGGTGGATGCTTTGGGCAATGCCATCGATGGAAAGGTGAGGGCTGATTTGTTATAAAAAAAAATTAAAGTGAATTGCTAGTTATTAATAGAATTTGACTTTATTGTCCATTTTTTTATGAATTAATGTGAAATGGAACTGTCTTTCACCACACAAGAAAAAGGATCACCCATCTGATCCTTTCAGATCTAGGCAGTGTCCTTGGGTTGTGACTAGAGGTTGACAACAGCCTGGGCATATCAGGTCTGATCAGAATGACATTAACCCTTCCCTATCCCTCAGGGTCCTCTTGGATCTAGCATCCGTAGGCGTGTGGGTCTGAAGGCCCCTGGCATCATCCCCCGTATCTCTGTGAAGGAACCTATGCAGACTGGCATCAAGGCCGTGGACAGCCTGGTGCCCATTGGCCGTGGCCAGCGTGAGCTGATCATCGGTGACAGACAGACTGGGTAAACACAGATGGCCAGATCCATCTTAGAAAATAGCTCTATTCCTTTAGTCGGGCTAACTGGGGCTTGAGAATATGGTCTTTCCATTCAACTTCTGTCTCTTTTCAAATTTATTCCCCAGACACTCCAGAGCCCAAATATACCAGCACTGTAATCTAATACAAATACCCTCTTTTCCAATCTAACAGCAAAACCGCTATTGCCATTGACACCATCATCAACCAGCGACGTTTCAACGAAGGCAAAGATGAGAAGAAGAAGCTTTACTGTATCTACGTTGCCATTGGCCAGAAGAGATCCACTGTGGCCCAGCTGGTGAAGAGGTTGACTGATGCTGATGCTATGAAGTACACCATTGTGGTTTCTGCTACAGCCTCTGATGCTGCTCCCCTGCAGTACTTGGCCCCCTACTCTGGCTGCTCCATGGGAGAGTTCTTCAGAGACAATGGCAAGCACGGCCTCATCATCTATGATGATTTGTCCAAGCAGGTGAGAAGGGGAAGTCAGGGCTGAGTGGAGTCTCGAGTGTGATGCTACTTCATGGAGGAAAAAAGAATGGAACTGGGCTCACACAGTAAATTCATCCATGTTCAACAGCTGTATTCTCTCCCCTCCCTACTCTCCAGGCTGTAGCCTACCGTCAGATGTCCCTGCTGCTGCGTCGTCCCCCCGGTCGTGAGGCTTACCCCGGTGATGTGTTCTACCTGCACTCCCGTCTGCTGGAGAGGGCCGCCAAGATGCACGACAACTTTGGCGGCGGCTCCCTGACCGCTCTGCCCGTCATTGAGACCCAGGCCGGAGACGTGTCTGCCTACATCCCCACCAACGTCATCTCAATCACTGATGGACAGGTGGGGTCATTTCATTGAAGGGCCTCACTTGCCTAATTTCCAGTCAACATGTCAAAGATTAATGTAATCCCTAAACCGAGTTGTGCTCTCTCCCCGGCAGATCTTCTTGGAGACTGAGTTGTTCTACAAAGGTATCCGCCCAGCCATCAACGTGGGTCTGTCTGTGTCCAGAGTTGGATCCGCTGCCCAGACCAAGGCCATGAAGCAGGTACGGACTGTGGCTCTGAAGGAGACTGTCATCGGATAAATGCAGATAAACTTCCTTGCAGTGCATTTCACCATTTAGCCCACAGTATTAATTTTTTCCCCACTTGAATCCGTCTCCTAAATCCATGATGTAATTGTGGTCCTGTCTGTGTAGGTGGCCGGTACCATGAAGCTGGAGCTGGCCCAGTATCGTGAGGTGGCTGCCTTCGCCCAGTTCGGCTCTGACCTGGACGCTGCCACCCAGCAGCTGCTCAACAGGGGCGTCCGTCTCACCGAGCTGCTGAAGCAGGGACAGTACTGTGAGTGTCGCCACCAGTGTGCTAATAAAGTTTGACATCTTGTTGTCAGCAAGGCCCACAAAATAAAACTTTCTCTCCCTCCCCTAGGCCCAATGGCCATTGAGGAGCAGGTGACTGTCATCTACGCCGGTGTCAGAGGTTACTTGGACAAGCTGGACCCTTCCAAGATCACCAAGTTTGAGAAGGCCTTCCTTGGGCACGTCCTCAGCCAGCACCAGGACCTGCTCACCACCATCAGGTAACAGACATGGGACCACCGGAGTACTACCAGTCTGATCTGAGCTTTAAGTTGACGTTAAAATGTTAACATACGTTGATATACACTTCATCTGAACTGATGGGACACCCTTGTCTTTCCAGGACCGATGGCATGATCTCACCGACATCTGATGCCAAACTGAAGGAGATTGTGTTGACCTTCCTGGCCAGCTTTGAGTAATGTGTGAAACTGCTCCTGGTCCTTCAGTGTGCTACCTGTCTCGGTCCCCATTGTCCTAATATTATATGTGAACTACTGAAGGCCAGAACCTCCATGTACAGATTTCTCCTAAGAATAAATAACATTTTACAACCCTAGAGAGCTGTGGTGAAATGTGACTTTATGGTAAGGTGTGCAGGTCCAGCAGATTTTCCACTTGGAAGGGTATAAATTATCACTTGAATTCCTGTATTATGTTCTAATGCAGTAATGTTTCACCACTGTGGATCTTTATATAGTCAAACTACCCTAAATACAGTTTCTTAACTTCGTTCATGAAATTCACTTCCATCTTGTCAGAATAAAAACGTGGTTTCAAAATATATTGATTAACAGGACATGGATTGTCATTTTTGCCCCTCAAGGAAAAATGCAGCGCTTTCAGTCAAGCATGGCGCATTTCAGATTTGATTCAAATAAATGTATATTTAAATACCGTTGCTGCAATGTCTGTTGGGTAGTTCCTGTCAGGGCTCATGAGTAAACGTTTCTGTAAAGCAGGAATGGTGGGTGTTACTTGTTTAATACAATGGCAATAAAGGTATCCACATTTACTGTAAAACGCTTGCTATCACGTTTCCCATATCTAGTACAGCTCTTGGCACATTAATGTGGACCAATACGGCTCTGCTTTCGTTTGGATTCATTCAACATGGTAAGTCCTAGACGGCACATGATTGTCAGAATTATATTCTTATTTGCTCTTGCGTTCCAAATGAGACTGAGGGGTTGTTCATAATCCCTAAATTGGAATAGATACAGATTTACTCTTGAACATGGAATCTGTCATCTATTTGCCTCTATAACCACCTACTGCTATGCTACTTTTCTCCACCAGATGGTGGTAGCTAGCCTGGCTAACGTTCCACTCCTTGCCAGTGCAACTCCTGTCAATTGGTAAATGACAGGAGTGGAATGTTAGCTAAAAAAAACAAGTAGCTGTACTAGGTTGTAGTTTTGTATTTATTAGGGTGCCCCATTATCTGTTGCCAAGGCAGCAGCTACTCCTCCTGGGGTCCAAACACATTAAGGCACTTACATTACACAAAACAGTACGTGTAACATTACACCTGTATGATACCACTATACAACAATATTACAATGTGCGTGTGCTAGCGTATGTGTGTGTCCACAGTCCCCGCTGTTCCATAAGGTGTATCTTTATCTGTTTTTTAAATCTGCTTTGATCAGTTACCTGATGTAGAATATGGCTCTATGTAGTACTGTGCGCCTCCCATAGTCTGTTCTGGACTTGGGGATCGTGAAGAGACCTCTGGTGGCATGTCTTGTCAGGTATGCATGGGTGTCCGAGCTGTGTGCTAGTAGTTTATACAACACTTCTTGACAATCTCTCCTCCACTTTGAGCCATGAGAGATTGACGTGCATATTAATGTTAGCTCTCGGTGTACATTTAAAGGCCAGCCGTGCTGCCCTGTTCTGAGCCAACAAAGTCCCTCTTTGTGGCACTTGACCACACGACTGAACTGTAGTCCAGGTGCGACAAAACTAGGTCCTGCCTTGTTGTTAGTGTTAAGAAGGCAGAGCCGAGCTTTATTATGGACAGACTTCTCCCCATCTTAGCTACTGTTGTATCAACATGTAGTTGATCTTCTGGTTGACTTTACTTCAGGAGTGTAGGCAATATCATCTATATAACAAACATGAGAAATGTCTGGTAGTTTTTTAAATTTATTTAAAACTGTTCTAAACAGTGTATTTTAGAGAATTTCCCTAGTTGATTCATTTGAACACTTCTGTTGTAGTGTGCATCACCCAAAGCATCACTCATTGCTTGGCAAGAGGAAGAGAGCAACATGTGACAGTTTGAATGGGGCTTCTGTCAAAGAGGACTATTGTCTGGGTCAAAATAGTCTCGTTCCCAGCCGTGTGTACCACTATTATCTGGGTCAGAACAACGTGTGATAAAGGAAAAAAACAAAATAGGCATCCAGGTGTCAGACATAGTTGCATTTCGTATTTAGGTGATGCTGTGTGTATATATATAAAAAAAACTCATCACAATTTTACCATGAGTGAGTCCAACATTTCCCTCCAAAAAGTCAGTAGAAATGTACTGGTTAAAAAAAAACATGAATCTATACATGCAATGTTTCTTTGCATTTAGTACCCCGCACCTGGAATTTCAATTAGTCCAGACAGACTGCAGCCTTGTGTTTATGGTATTAAAAACAGCAGATTTATACCACTTTACACATTTCACGCATACTTTCTTAACCATGTAATAAATATGTTATACCATGTAATATATGGAACACTTAAAACTTAACTGGTTCATCTAGTAGAGATATAGTGTAGTATTTTATCCTAAAGATCTTTCTCAGGCATGCGCTGAGGCATGAGATCAGCTGTTTTGACCCTTTATTAAATCAACTAAACTATACCAGCTTTTATAGTCGGTTTCCAAATGCAAAAGTAACATGAACATAAATGTATTTGTCATGTGATCATTTCACATGAACATCACACGATGAACATGACGTTTCCGTCTATTCAATATCTTAGATTTTACATGCAGTATGTTTACCTTTGTAGTCTCATGACAACATTGAATCAGATTTTTTAAATAATGTCCTTTCAATATTATGAAAATCATCTCTTTGTAAATTGTCATTCTCTGGATAGGTCACCCATTCATCTTTTAGTATAAAGCTCTACCTTCGTGAGAGAGGCTTTCCTTTAAAACATCAGATATTGATTCACAGAGGAATAGAACATGTCTGGTAGGCTGGAAGGTAGCAAACGGCTCCTACTTTCACACAACATAGAAGTGATCTCTTTTCGGACCAAAATCACAATGGAGAAAATCTGGGCCACCATTATGTCCTATAATTTCCTGGTCAGATCACAGGGTCAGGAAAAACTCCTGGCCCTAGTAATGGGACTTGAAAGTCATGTACGGGGTAAAGGAGAGACCAAAAGGAGAAATCCCTCAACCTTATAACGCTCTGTAATTAGACATGGCATTAAGACATTGTTAAAACAGATCCCTAGCAGGGGATCATGCTGGTATCCAATCCATGTTATAATGTCCTTCTCTGAGTACTCAAAAACAATGCACATATTTCTACAGTTTACAAAATGTGTCTCAGACACAGCACTTTTCCTCGTACAAATGGAATGCCATCTTTCTTTATAACTAGCCTTTTGTTTTCTGAATATCTCAGATCACAGATACAGTCTTGGACACATTTGTTAGGACTTTGCAGGGAGCTTTGAGCAAGTAGCAGCAACAATCTGGCTAAGGCAATATAAAAAAAATATATACAGTACATAGTACGTCATTTCAGATTTCCGAAAGGCTCCTGGCTTTCATTTAAGCTTTGGGACAGTCAGTCCTTGGCAATATTACGTTCACAGGTGTAAGACTTATTATTGGCCAGGCTGCACACATGGACACTCTGCTTACTGTAACAACTGAGATTTCATTCATTTCAAACAAAAGCTTCAAACACAACAGCTCCAACAAATTCAGACCTCACAGCGTAACTGCACACAAAGACCAGAAACCCAATCCACGGATCATTAGCTCAACACACCCAACCAAAGAAGTCAGTGTTATCTCACTGAGCTAAAGCCTTTGCAAGATCATTGGCTCTGAGATTGGCAAGATTGTGGCCAGAGCTTCAGTCTGTGCTTCCATAGTGGTTCTCATTATCTGGGTTGTCCTGGAGACTGGTTTGGGATGTCTCCTCTTGTATCTCTACTGGATCAACAGGCCTCTTGAAGAAGTCAGATGCATAGAACACCTGTGTTGGTAGAGCAGAGGACATTATTTTTCTTTATACAATGGAGACTGAAACTGAGAAAACAACTTACAGTGATATAACCATGAATGTATGTGATGTTGTCTCTAAGGGAATGAGAAAGGGAAAGGGAATACATGGTTTGTTAGCGAAGGAACAAATGGACATTCTCTCAGCCTGGGTGCCAGTCTGTTTCTGCATCAGCCAACTTGTCATTGCCTTGCCAAACAGGACATTGCAGCATTTGCTTGGATAGGAAATGATGTAGCACTGTTGAATGCAGTAACATCATGTGCCCACTATTATAACTAGCTACAGTACCTGTGTCAATGTGAGTAATGAACTTCAGTGCCTATACATTTACTTTATGTTTTTATCTTAATTGGCTGGGCTTGTGCCAGTGCCCCTGGTGTTAGCCTGTTCATTGCTGTATTAAACCATAGCCTATAGCTAGCTACCCACCGTGAGTATTGCGACTATCGCCCCCTGCAGGAGGCCAGTAAGTACGTCACTCCAGTGGTGTTTGTAGTCGGAGACGCGCGACAGCCCCACATAGACGGACGCTGCGATCAGGAAGAACTGGATGGTGGGTCTGAGGAGCCTGGCCCACTCTGTCTGCAGTCTGGCCTGGATGTACAGCTACAAGAGAGGGCAGAAGGACACCATCAACATCATGAAAGGGAACTATTGCTCAGGGACGAAGGAACTGTTGTAGCCTCCCTGTACGTATGTAACAATGATCTACTATACTTACTGCAAGGAACAGCATACAGTACATAGAGAAAGATGAGTGACCAGAAAAGAAGGAAAGCCTGTTAAAAAAAAAAAAAAAGACAAAATAGATTAGGGGAAGCTACAGCATCGCAAACACCATTTGAGCTCGCATTTCCCAGTTAAGATTTTGCAGTTATGATTTTGCAGCAATGCCTTCTCTTGGGATGTATCCCAGGCTTTGAGATGTAACCCGAGGAGCCCTTACTGTACCTGGCCTCATCCACCATGTTCTTGTCCCCGGTACAGGTGAAGTTCTCGATGTAGCCTCCGGCCTTGCAGTTGATGCGGTCCCACACAGGCTTACACACAGCCAGGAAGTGGGGCCGCAGTCGACCAATCGAGTACTTGGCAATGTCCGTCAGTGATTGGCTAGCAGCAGCCCCGAATAGGAAGCTGGCCACTGCTTTATAAACGCACGCCACGTAGTTAGTCCCCAAGGATGATTTGGTCTTGAGACGAGTCATATAGACGCCAAAGCACTCACCACTGACCACCTGTAAAAGCAAGAAAGTGATCTTTAACTGAGGTCAATTGAATATATTAACATATTGTCTCATATAATTGTAGTTTTACCACAAACCTTTAAAACACAAATGCCGATATTTTTAAGAGAATATCTGAGAACAGGGCAGAGGTAATGTCTTACCACAATCAGTGTGAAAGGAATCATGACTCCCCCCAGTAACTGATAGGATATGGTGTCCTCTTTCAGGGGGTATCTGATGGACTCATCATTACAGAAGAAACCCCTTTTGAAGGGATTGTGCTGAGGGGTGAGGATCGCAAAGGGAAGTCCAACTGGAGAGAGAGAGAGACAAAGAAAGAGAGAGATAATCAGCAATAGTCTCCTTATTCAAACTATCTTTCGTAATTCTTTACAACGAGCTTTTGACCAAACTTTTTTTTTTTCAAAAGTCACAGGAGAAATGAACTTGCTAGGCAAAACCTGATACAAAACAATATCCAAGGTAGAGTCTTCTAAATAACTAATAGAGTCCGGGATGTGAGTGGACAGCACATCAACCACCATAACTGGCCAAAAACCATAGGAAAATCACAGAACAGCTGTTTCTAAAATGAACGAGAGCTGTGCCTAACTTCGGTGAAATAGACTGGCTGGCACCCAGGCTAGCCAGTCGATGAGTCAGCGTGGGATGTTTCAGTTGAGGTTAGCTGACCTAACTAATGATAACATGATTTGACAGAGTTGTCATGGAGATGTTGGCATGGATGTCTAAATGCTTCTGGCACTGTAATAATGTCAGTCAGACTCACTCAGGCACACAGTCTAACTGACCTCTAACAGATAGGATCACTTTCTCACACTGCTCTGCTCTCATATGATTTCTATCTCGCCCTTTAATTCACTGTCCACAACATTAGGCCTTTACCAAGAGAAATATGGAAATCTAGGCATAACTATCCAATGTGATACCAATGGGATATTACCCATTGGTAACCAATGTCAGAAGCCTGGCATTCTCAACCACACTAACAGAAAAATATAGAATAGTTTGTGGGGGTGCTGCTGTGGCCCAGGAGTAGTGAATGCAGACAGTGAAAGCAAATGCTGAAAAAAAAGTTCAAAAGAGTGGCAGTAGAATTCCATGTCTTGATATCTTGATATCTCTTTCTGTCTCTCTTGTATCATTAATTTGTACAGCGCAGAAGGCTACATACACTAGTACGGCCCACTGTTTCCAATTCACAGTGTTAGTGTTCATCAGCTTCGAAGTTTAACAGTATTTAAACTTCAAGTATTTTGTAAGTTCAAAGTAGGTTTGCTGTTTCTTAATATATCCTTCTATTCAACCCACTTCCTCTCTTCAAAGATACAGTAACTTCACTTCATTTCCTGTTTGAATCAAGCAGGTTACACAACCATTCATTGTTCTAAGCATTAGAGTGTACGTGAATAGGAGTGCTTTAATTAGCTATCCATTCCACCCTCTGTCCTGATTCTGGCCAGTAAGGCACATTCCACTACGTCAGCAGATTCCAGCCAAAATGAGATAACTAGCAGTCACAGGTCTTTGATTAGAGCTTGTCCTGTTATGTTGGGGAGTATGGACACCATATGCCATCTTTGTTAAACATTCTGACTGCTTCTAATTGATCACAAAGGGTGAAAAAAATTCCAGAATAATTCCAGCATAGAACATTGCTCCAAGGGTTTTAAAAGTGCTCCACGTTGCACGTAGACACATATTTAGGATCAGTTTAGCCTTATTCTTAGGATCATGATCTGAAATATAGGGATTTGGCCAAAGGGTAATCACCAAAACACTGTTTTTTAGAGGTTTGAGTTGTTTCTTGTTTTTGCTCATTCTTTTTGTGTAACTAAAGATGGTGCAGGATTTTGTGATTTTGTGTAATGAATGACAGTATAACACTACTATAGTATGAGAAAAATAAGTTTGTTTATGTCATTGAGCAGAGATGGAATCAAAACCAGAACTCTGTGAAAAGAACAAGACCAGACCAGACCCAGGTCAACTATCTTAAAACATCATAAAAATAAGAAATGTTTGTGTTGTCTCACAACTACTTAGTCACATAACTCTGACAAGTATTGTCAAGACACAGTACTCAGTGTTGACAACATGAGTACAGAGACTACAAAAACGATGGTCTTGTCGAAAAACCATTAAATGCGACCAAGACCCTTACCCAGAGTATCAAGACCCATATCCAAACCGAGTTTAGATCAAGACCAGTTGCGGACTTACCATTTGCCTCAGGCCACACATCATTAAGGGGCTTCGTGAGCTGGACATAATTACAAATAATAATTAATAATTTTCCCGCTTGAGGCCTACAGACGCTACGCTGGATTTAATTGTCATTTTTTGACAATGATCTACACAACATAGTCTGTCATGTCAAAGTGAGAGAGAAAAAATTACCATAATGAAAAATAAAACACTAATATATCTTGATTAGGTAAGTACACCTGGATTGTACAATTTTGCACATTGTTATTTTTAGAATTCTTCAAGCTCTGTCAAGTTGGTTGTTGATCATTGCTAGACAGACATTTTCAAGTCTTGCCATAGATTGTCAAGCTGATTTAAGTCAAAGCTGTAACTAGGCTACTCAGGAACATTCAATGTCGTCTTGGTAAGCAACTCCAGTGTATATTTGGCCTTGTGTTTTAGGTTATTGTTCTGCTGAAAGGTGAATTTCTCTCCCAGTGTCTGTTGGAAAGCAGACTGAACCAGATTTTCTTTAGGATTTTGCATGTGCTTAGCTCTATTCCATTAATTGTTATCATTAAAAAACTCCCTAGTCCTTGCCGATGACAAGCATACCCATAACATGATGCAGCCACCACCATGCTTGAAAATATGAAGAGTGGTACTCAATGATGTGTTGTGTTGGATTTGCCCCAAAACATAACATAACGCTTTGTATTCAGAACATAAAGTTAACTTCTTTGCCACATTTTAAGCAGTTTAACTTTAGTGCCTTATTGCAAACAGGATGCATGTTTTGGAATATTTGTATTCTGTACAGGATTCCTTCTTTTCACTCTGTTAATTAGGTTAGTATTGTGGAGTAACTACAATGTTGTTGATCCATCTTCAGTTTTCTCCTATCACAGCCATTAAACTCTGTAACTGTTTTAAAGTCACCATTGGCCTCATGGTGAAATCCCTGAGCGGTTTCCTTCCTCTTTGGCAACTGAGTTAGGAAGGACGCCTGTATATTTGTAGTGACTGGTTGTATTGACACAATCCAAAATGTAATTAATAACTTCACCTTGCTCAAAGGGATATTCAATCTCTCCTTTTTTTTTACCCATCTACCAATCGGTGGCCTTCTTTGCAAGGCGATGGAAAACCTTGGTCTTTGTGGTTGAATCTGTGTTTGAAATTCACTGCTCGACTGAGGGACCTTACAGATAATTGTATGTGTGGGGTACAGAGATGAGGTAGTCATTCAAAAGTCATGTTAAACACTATTATTGCACACAGAGTGAGTCCATGCAACTTATTATGTGACTTGTTAAGCATATTTTTACTCCTGAACCCATAACAAAGGGGTTGAATACTTATTGATTCAAGACATTTCAGCTTTTCATTTTTAATTAATTTGTAAAAATGTCTATAAACATAATTCCACTTTGACATTATGGGGTGTTGTGTGTAGGCCAGTGACACATCATCTCAATTTAATCAATTTCAAATTCAGGTTGTAACACAACAAAATGTGGAAAAAGTCAAGGGGTGTGAATACTTTCTGAAGCCACTGTAGGTCATTTTTCTGTTAAAATCTTCTTTTTTTTTATTTTCTCTGTCCCGCTCTGAAAGCGCTTCATTGCTGCAGTTTAATTTAAATGAAAGTCACACTTGCAATCATATCATGTGAAACAATGCACAGGAACTATGTCATGGTAGAATACAATACATTTTATAGATTACAAAAATAAGTAGCATATTATTTTTAAATGTGTGCATGTTTTTATCCTCTGACAAAACAAAAGCTGATTCAAAGGGGGTGTGGAAGATTTCGAAACTCCTCCGTGGTAGGATACACATGAGTATCCTTGATGAAAGGTAGGCTTCTGCCTGAGGCCTCCAAATCACTAAGTCCACCCCTGAAGACTCCATCTTTGCAGTCGAGGGACACAAAAATGTACCCCAATTTGAGAATCACTCATATACACTTTAGACAGACACTGAGTGTACAAAACATTAGGAACACCTTCCCCCCAATTTTTATTTTGCACAGCCTTTTGACCTTAGAACAGGCTCAATTCCTCGGGGCATCGACTCTACAAGGTGTCGAAAGCATTCCACAGGGATGCTGGCCCATGTTGACTCCAATACTTCCAACAGTTGTGTCAAGTTGGCTGGATGTCCTTTGGATGGTGGACCATTTATGATACACACTGGAAACTTTTGAGTGTGAAAAACCCAGCAGCGTTGCAGTTCTTGACACACTCAAATCAGTGACATCAATAAGGGATCATATCTTTCACCTGGATTCACCTGGTCAATCTATGTCAATGAAAAGAGCATGACATAGCTGTTCCTAATGTTTTGTACACTCAGTGTATAAACCCAGGGGGGAAAACTACTGATAATGGCATGATCATGTTCTGGTCAAATGTAATAACTGAACCCAAGATCTACCCCTCTGACTCTCTTGTTTAATACACAACCAGAAGGCTATATTCAAATAAACCTTGCGGGTCTGAATGATCTCATACAATATAGGCTATAGGTTATGAAAGTGGATGTTTCTTTTTTTTCAGGTATATAGTATTTTCAACATAACTTTTGTTTCCCCTGAAAAACGGAAGTGGGGACTCTGCTCAGGCGTTTTCCTATGCATGCTATGTAAGGTTATAAGCTAAGTTATAGCCTAGCTAAAACTAGAGCACAAAGTTATTACCTGGTCAAGACATGGTAAGGAAAAACTCCTGGTTATTATATTATACAGTCTTACTGTGTGTTGTCTTGTATGCTATTATAACAGTGATATTGACCACAGCAGTGTAGCCTATCTCTAGTGGATGATCACTGGAATGGATCAGCAGCGGAATAGGACACCCATTCATTCACAGACATAGACACTGATTGTTAGTTACCCATGCACCTAAGCAAAGCATATTTGCAATAGAGCTGTAATAAAGAGATACCTCAGTAGGACTGGTGTTTAGGCTGCAGTGGGCTAGTGCAGAATAACTTCTCACAGAAAAGGGAACTATAGGCCTTGACACTGCCAACAACAACAGTATGGTACGTAGGCTACATACCGAGGATAAGGCAGGTAACGTCGAGAAGGACGAGTGGGGTTCTGCCAGTCTTAAACATGTTGCGTCTCAGGACTTCTGTCTTTGACAAATCCGTAAACTCCCGAGCGTTCGGCTGCTGTCGGCTTTCTTTCGGCGAGATGAGAGACAGCCTATTGGTCGAACATGCCTGGCTATTTGTAGAAAACAATTAAAAACATCGTTTTTAATATTGTAGGTGTTAGCCTACACTAAGCCTAAAACCCAAAAAAAAACGGTTTGTTTGAACCCAGGGGAAACAGTATACTGTCTAGTTTATCAACTATTCCTAAAACCTTTACGTTTTCAATCCCTTACCCTTTAAAATTGGCACAGCCCAACTTCATAATAAACGGATTCTTCAGCGAAATACGCGGATAATCTTCTGGCGCGTCCGGTACGATGCTCCGGAAATAACACAGGCAGGCCTCCAGTTGTGATAATGGTAGGGCGGTGGGCTCAGGTGAAGAGCCTATCGTGTGCTTGCAAGGGGAAAACGACAGCAGTCGCCCGATGCTCGACTCGCTCCATCCCCTCCCCTTTTGCTATGCAAAGTTGAGGTAACGTCACTGTTGCTATTATTGGAAACTCCACGGCTAGAATGTGGGAAAAGTGTTAAATGGAACAGCACCCAACATTATCAATTAATTTACTCTGATTATGTTGACCAATTCTTACTAGAAGGATGATGATAACAGAGGTGTACATTTTCCCATACCTTTTTACAGGGGCGCAACTTTCATTGAAATTGCATTTTTGTCCCCACCAGTTTTATAATTGGAATGTGACAGTGGCGACCCCTCATTCTTCTTTTTTTGGTGGGGGGTGTTATTTTGACATTAATACGTGTCACATATCAGTTTGCAAACAATGTCATTTAAAAATGTTTATCATTGAGTTAATAAAGCTGCATACAAACTTGGTCTCTTTTTTGCTTTCTTGAGTAAGGCAGCTCCAAAATGCAGGTGTTTCAGCCTAGCTCAGTGCTTTCTGTGGTGGTGGGGCAGCCAGCGGAAAATACGGAGCGTAGGGGTTGGTAATGTTCTCTAGTTGCGCCATGATTGGGTAATGTTCTCTAGTTGTGTCGTCATTGGCTCAGTGTTCTGTCACTCATGGGGACACTATGTCACCGCCAAATCTAAGGGTAGCGCAAAAAAATTCAACCCCCTTGGGTGATGCCATAGAGTTACATTAGAAGTGCCCATCCAAGAAGGCTCAAGGTCATTGGCCACAGATAAAATGACGTGAAATCACATTATATCTACAGTAGCTTTGATTGGACTGATCATGTCAACATCATACTTTCAAAATCTTAGCTAGCAAGCTAGCAGTCATCATCATGAATCAAGTCGACAATCTACTGGCAAATGCTTTTTAATCCTTGTCATATGAAGAGAAATAATGAAGAGAAATCATATATAAAACGTATTGGTGCTCATCGGCCATTGGACATAAACATTACACAACAAGTTGGAAATCGCAAATTCAACAATGAGTGGTTTGGAAGGAATTAGTGGCTAACTGCAAGCATTGCAAAGTGATCACTAGCCTGCTATTCAGTGGAGTGGGTTTGTGGTTCCAAGTCTGGGTTTAAGGGTCTCTTTTCCAAGCTTAAAAGGATAAACTTTCAACATTGTTGTCAATCCAGCATGACTTCTGCTGTGCTCAAAACAACTGTAAACTCAGAACTGGGAAATCTGACTTCAGTGAGTTCAAGACAACTGGGAACTCTGAAAGAAACTAGCTCTGACTGGGAAAATACGTTTTCAACGGTCATCCAACTCGGAATTGCAAGTCGGGAACTCTGGCCTCTTTCTAGATCTCCGACCTGAAGATCACTGACGTCATTATGATTCAACCTTGTTTTTTTCAGAGTTCCCAGTTTCTTGAAAGTACCATAAATCCAGAGAATGCCAGACTTTGATGACAAAATTTGCCCACGAAGGACCGCTGCGCCACCTTCCTGTTCAAGTGAGCACAGCACAACAAGGTGAGTCCAATAATGTCTTGTATGCTGCTGAATAAATGATGTAATATGCCAGGGAGATATGTATACTGTAGCTAAGAAAGTAATACTAAGTGTATGTTTTGTAATAAGCTGTTAGTAGCCCTAATAATTTGGTCCCTTTTCCCCCTCTTAATTTCGCCTACTCTTCTGACTTGGTGGTGCACATGTAGCCTATAGCCTGTTTTAGAGAAACGTAATCATCGAATATTGTAAGAGCTTTCGTTGTCTGCTTATATGCCCCCTTTATTTATCCTACGGTTCTGACTTGGTATACAGGGAGAATACTGTAAGAACGGCCCATGTTCTGAATTCTGTCGCTGTACATTTCAAAAGTGCTGAACAAATAGTTATATTGACTACGTCCATCCTAGCTCGCTCATTAATGTCTTAATCGAAATTATGGTTTGCCTCTTATCCGCTCGTCGTCCCCTTATGCCATAGTTTGTGCATCTCAATTTTCAGTAGAAACCACACTTGTTTAAGCAAGTCAGCCATATCAAAGAGTCAATACAGGACTAAGATTGAATCGTACTACACTGGCTCTGATACTCGTCGGATGTGGCTGGGCTTGAAAACTATTACAGACTACAAAGGGAAGCACAGCCGCGAGCTGCCCAGTGACACAAGACTTCCAGACGAGCTAAACCACTTCAATGCTCGCTTCGAGGCAAGCAACACTGAAGCATGCATGAGAGCACCAGCTGTTCCGGATGACTATGTGATCGCGCTCTCCGTAGCCGATGTGAGTAAGACTTTTAAGCAGGTCAATATTCACAAGGCCGCAGGGCCAGACGGATTACCAGGACGTGTACTCCGAGCATGTGCTGACCAACTGGCAAGTGTCTTCACTGACATTTTCAACATGTCCCTGACTGAGTCTGTAATACCAACATGTTTCAAGCAGACCACCATAGTCCCCGTGCCCAAGGACTCTAAGATAACCTGCCTAAATGACTACCGACCCGTAGCACTGACGTCTGTAGCCATGAAGTGCTTTGAAAGGCTGGTCATGGCTCACATCAACAGCATTATCCCAGAAACCCTAGACCCACCCCAATTTGCATACCGCCCCAACAGATCCACAGATGATGCAATCTCTATTGCACTCCACACTGCCCTTTCCCACCTGGACAAGAGGAACACCTACGTGAGAATGCTATTCATTGACTACAGCTCAGCATTCAACACCATAGTGCCCTCAAAGCTCATCACTAAGCTAAGGATCCTGGGACTAAACACCTCCCTCTGCAACTGGAACCTGGACTTCCTGACAGGCCGCCCCCAAGTGGTAAGGGTAGGTAACAACACATCTGCCACACTGATCCTCAACACGGGGGCCCCTCAGGGGTGCGTGCTCAGTCCCCTCCTATACTCCCTGTTCACCCATGACTGCATGGCCAGGCACGACTCCAACACCATCATTAAGTTTGCCGACGACACAACAGTGGTAGGCCTGATCACCGACAACGATGAGACAGCCTATAGGGAGGAGGTCAGAGACCTGGCCGTGTGGTGCCAGGACAACAACCTCTCCCTCAACGTGACCAAGACAAAGGAGATGATTGTGGACTACAGGAAAAAAAAGAGGACTGAGCACGCCCCCATTCTCATTGACGGGGCTGTAGTGGAACAGGTTGAGAGCTTCAAGTTCCTTGGTGTCCACATCACCAACGAACTATCATGGTCCAAACACACCAAGACAGTCGTGAAGAGGGCACGACAAAGCCTATTCCCCCTCAGGAGACTGAAAAGATTTGGCATGGGTCCCCAGATCCTCAAAAAATTATACAGCTGCACCATCGAGAGCATCCTGACTGGTTGCATCACCGCCTGGTATGGCAACTGCTTGGCCTCCGACCGCAACGCACTACAGAGGGTAGTGCGTACGGCCCAGTACATCACTGGGGCCAAGCTTCCTGCCATCCAGGACCTCTATACCAGGCGGTGTCAGAGGAAAGCCCTCAAAATTGTCAAAGACTCCAGCCACCCTAGTCATAGACTGTTCTCTCTGCTACCGCACGGCAAGCGGTACCGGAGTGCCAAGTCTAGGTCCAAAAGACTTCTCAACAGCTTCTACCCCCAAGCCATAAGACTCCTGAACAGCTAATCATGGCTACCCGGACTATTTGCACTGCCCTCCCACCCCATCCTTTTATGCTGCTGCTACTCTGTTAATTATTTATGCATAGTCACTTTAACTCTGCCCACATGTACATATTACCTCAACTACCTCAACTAGCCGGTGCCCCCGCACATTGACTCTGCACCGGTACCCCCTGTATATATAGCCTCCCTACTGTTATTTTATTTTACTTCTGCTCTTTTTTTCTCAACACTTTTTTTGTAGTTGTTTTTTTAATTTTTATAAATATATTTTAAACTTTTTTGTTAAAAATAAATGCACTGTTGGTTAAGGGCTGTAAGTAAGCATTTCACTGTAATGTCTGCACCTGTTGTATTCGGCGCATGTGGCCAATACAATTTGATTTGATTTGATTTGATATCAGCTATGTTTTGTTTTTTTAAGGCAGTAAATGAGACTCCGCTGATAGCCAGGAGTAGCAGTGGACTGCTGTTGGGACTCTGCTGTTGAGACAGCTTGATGTAGGCCCTAACAGTTTGTGGGCACTGTTTGTCACTTTTATAGTGCAATTCATGTATTGTTTAGTGTTGTGTTGTGTTTTGTAGTGGCTTTGCTGGCATGCATCCCACTTATTTTTTTGCTTGTTTGCCCCACCAAGATTTACATGCTAAAATTGCCACTGGAATGTGATACAAATTGAGGTACGGTGTGCTTTAGGACCATGCGGACACCTCCGAGCGACCGGGTAGGCTGTTTGGAGTGTCAAATTTTTTAAAATACCCCCCCCCCCCCACTTCTAAAACCAAAGTTGCGCCCCTGCATTTTCATAGAGGTTCCCACAGGTTCCACCAAAGTCTTTCTTCTGTTCTGTGCCAAAACATGCCTGACCATGAAATAGTGCCAGTTGTAGACCTATAGACTGCTCTCTCTCTCACACACACAGACACACACACACACACACACACACACACACACACACACACACACACACACACACAGAGAGAGAAAGAGAGAGATATAGGGGAAGGAGGAAGGAAGAGAGAGAGAGATGGTTTCGAAATATTGACTCTCCCAATGTTGCAATGCAAGACAAGAAATACCACAAATATTGACATACATGCAATTGCTAATCTACTCCCAAATCATATAAAACGCTATGATAGTGCATGCAATCAGCATTCTTTTAATTAGGCTACTTGATCCTTCTATCCAGGACATGGGCTCCAAGTCCGTTGGTTGGTTAGGTCCCGGACAGTTCCTCTTGGTTTGTAAAGCTTGGGTTGTGGCTACAAACATGGTTTTATCTATTAGGTGGGTCATAATGCATCATGTTTGGGAACCCACTGTGCTTAGGTACCCAAATGTGGTCAACAGCTTGAAATGAAGGAATGTAGAGTAGGCCTAATATGAAAATGCTTAACCACTAACAGTCTGTTTCTCTTCTCTGAATTCATATATCAATTCATATAACTAAAACATTTAAATAATTATGATCCTGTATTATTCTAATACATATTCAAATACAGTATTATACAAAAACATCCTTCTCTTCATTTATACAAAAATATTATTTTCATTGAGTTGAGTCCATAGCAGGTTGGCAGTCTCAATACAACAAAGGGGGTAAGGATCTTCTGCCCTCCTTGGTTTCACCCAGTGAGCACAAGAAGTTGAAAGACATCTTTACAAAGTATTTTCAACCAAATACTCATAGGACAGACTCATCAGATCATTAGGCCATCGTCAGACAGCAAAATGGCAAAGATGATGTACAATGAGTACATAACATCACATCCATATTTCAATTAAATCAAGTTCCAATCTTGGTATTAAAAAGTTAATGTCTCATCCCTCTACATGCCCTCCCCAGTCCCTAAGTTGAGTCTGTAGGATGATGAGGACATTGTTCTCTCAAAAAAACCCAGAGGATGTCTCTCCTCTCCAGAGGTTCTGATTTCATAACCATGACCACAGGTCCAGGGTCAGATATAGTTCAACCTCCTAATGGTTAAGGCTATGAAAAGGGGTAGGGTAGTCTGATCTTAGAACTGTGGTTATGGGGCAACCTCTACCTCAAGCGACTTGAGTCATTCAGTAGTTTCTGCCTCTGCAGATGCTCCTGGATCTCCTGTGTGAAGAACAGCTCCCCCAGGTGGCCGTGAGAGGCCTCGCTCATGGCCTTGGTCTGCATACACATCTTATACTTGTCTGGCGGCAGCTCATCCGCACACTGCTTCTCATGCCACAGGTGGAAGAGGCTACGGGAGGGAGAGCGAATCACCATCAGCTTGCTGTGCAGGTACTTTCTGTACAGGTGAACATCCTCCAAACCCCAGCCTTTGGTGTTCCGGTCAAACCCACCTGTGCAGATCAGAGATATAAATTGACAAAATCAATCAATCAATCAATCAATCAAATGAACAATCAGTCAGTCAGTCAATCAATGAAGAAACATATAATTTCATTACCTATGTTGATGAAATCAGACCTATACTGGCATGTCATGCCAAACCCAAAATCTCTCCAGAATCCAGTGTCCTTCCTTATCACCTGTTGCAGAAAGACACAAAGTAAAAGAATCATAAAAAAAACACAATGTAATGTATAATATATTTGTCCTATTTCCACACACAGGTGTGCCGGCAAGGGGGACTCACCAGTTGTTGTTGAATAGAAGGGAAGGGACTCTGGTTATTGTCGATAAGCGATGGATTGTACTGACTGAAGAGCACTGGGTAGAACACTTTCTTACCTAAAGTCAGAAAAACAAAGGCATGCATCTTCCATTAGAACTTCCACTTCCATTGGCAGACAGACACACTGACACACCGACATATTGATAGATAGTTAGGACCTCCCGCTCCTCACCAGGCTCTGCATTGAGTCTACAGGAAGTGAGAAAGTCTAGGGTGAAGTGGATGTCGACGTCGCAGAAGAAGAGCAGCACGTTGTGGCTCCGTCTCCAGGCCCGTGCGCCCACTTCTAAGCCCCGCCCACGAGAGAACTCCTCGTTCAGTTGGATCAGCGTGAAGTTCCGGAATTGGGTCTCCCTGAGGGAGGGAAAGTTTTGCTGAGGTAATCTAAATCAGTATTTAATGAGAAACGGTCATCATGCCAACTGGAGGTCATCAACCCTAAGGTCAAATCTAAACAAACACAGTTGTGGCTAGAAACATGGTTTCCTCATTTGAGTGGAACATAAGAAAATATGGACATTTGGAGTGATCAAATCTAAATATGTGTGGTTTAACTTAAATACACTTCCACATATTCACATACAATAAGCCCTGTCTGTGGTCAAACAACTGCTGCTCTTTTCATTCCCTTCCTGTTGGTTATCCTGTATCTGTATGGATCTGCTACAATCAGGAGATTATTCTAATTTCTCTCCTTACAGTCTCCTAGCAACAGAGAGGCTCTGCAGGACTCCCCTGGTTCCTAACGCTTGAAATGATGTGCTGATTAAAGAACATTAACAGTTACTGTATATCACACTGGAGTTATATCTACACTGTCTGCTATCCACCAACGACCGCAATGCAGCACAGACACATCCCCAATTAGGAATTCCAGAGGAAGAACAATGCATTCAATAGAAGGCAATATGCTGTTGTACTTACTGTACACCGTGGAGCTGAAACTTGAGATGAATATTTTCATACCTTTGAGCCCTATTTGATGGAGTAGGCTTGCTATAGTTATGAACTTGTTATTACTTGCAAACATTGTAAAGCTGAGAAGAGTTTATTACCTGGATGTCTGATCCATGATGGCTTTAACCTCGTCAATCTGGTCCCTGCCAAAGTAGACCACAGTGAGGTGGGTCTTCCCTTCCTGCTGGACGCACACCTTTCTGAAACAGCAAGATGGCGGTTATAGTCTCCCTAGACCAAAGGTGTCAAACTTATTCCACAGAGAGCTGAGTGTCTGTTGGTTTTCGCTCCACCCCGGTACTTGATTGATGAATTAAGGTCACTAATTAGTAAGGAACTCCCCTCACCTGGTTGTCTAGGTCTTAATTGAAAGGAAAAAACTAAAACCTGCAGACACTAGGCCCTCCGTGGAATGAGTTTGACACCCCTGCCCTAGACAGATGGGCTGTGTCCTACAATGTTACCAATGTTCCAGCATACATACATACTAGTGCTGTTGCCATAGGTCTGGGATTCCTGAGACTAGCTGTTATACATCGTCCTGCCACCAGCAGAAAATAAAATATGTTTGGTAATACCTAGGTCTGCTCAACATGAGCAAAAATATGTTTACTAATGGTCATAAACACCTGACATTACAATTGTTGGTGCTGGGAGAAAAAACTCTGTACATACAACCTAAAGGGTTATTTTTACTTCCCAAACCGCCTGAGATTGCGGGCCATATCGTTTCTTTTTGTTCCTACCTGAAGTTGTTGATGAACTGTCTGAATGTGTCAGCCCTCCTGGACAGTGGGACTATGATATTGATGAGCATGTGGCGTGTGTCCACCCTCTCATTCTTCACCCTGACCACCGGGCCGAAAGGTCTGAAGAACACCAACTGTCGGAAGTCCTGCGGCCCCTCGCCCTTAAACATCAGCTCATACACTGTCCCCTTGTCACGCTCTGTACGGGTTAGCCCTGTTAGGGACGGATGGATGGACAGACAGACATACACAGACAGACGGACGGACGGACAGAGAGAGAGAGAGAGAGAGAGAGAGAGAGAGAGAGAGAGAGAGAGAGAGGGACGGACAGACGGACGGACAGACAGACAGACAGACAGACAGACAGACAGACAGACAGACAGACAGACAGACAGACAGACAGACAGACATCAGCAAGTACAAATAATTTAACCAATCGCAAATTGTCTTCATGACCCTCTGGAGATCTGAGAGGATTTCATACTTGTAAACAATTTGACAATAGGAGGGCAAAGTACACTTGACTGGGCCCAACACGCTCACCCTCTATGAAGTCCAATGGTGAATAGGAGCGTCGGTGGCGCTCCCCGTGTCTCTGGGGTCCGTTGAGGACCTGCAGGGCTGTCTCCAGCGTGCCTGTCAGCTCGTCTCTCCGGTCCTTCCTCACAGGCCTCTCCTCTGGGTGACGGGTCAGCCCCATCTCGAGCTGGTACACCCTGGAAAACAACCATCCTGAGTAGCACTGCATTTATACTGTACCTCAATATGGTTATGTGTAGGGTCAAGAGGTTTTCATGGCCAGGTAATGTGGACAGTGTAAAGCTCAGGGGTCTAATTTTAAGGCCTTTTAAATAAATAAGGTCAAAGGTCACTTGACTGACCTGTGCAGGGTGAAGCTTTCGAAGGGAATCACGGCGTACTCGCTGGGCAACTTCTCACTAGACTGGACCTCAGCCCGGCTCAACTGGGCCTTGAAGAACTCCTGCCGGAAGAGTTGGCATACTGATTGATAAAGATGCACACACACACACGCATGCACACACGCACACACTCACGCACACACACAGACACATACACACACATATACATACACACACACACACACACACACTCACCTGGAGGTCGGTGTGTGTCTGGGGCCTACGCAGGTCCTCCAGCCCCATAGGTAGAACCCCTTTGGCCCTGGCCTTTTCCAGAGACTCCTGCAGCTGCTGGGTCCTCATCTGGAGAGCCTCTTTGAGCTGGGCTATCTGCTTACTGAGACTGTTAATATAGTGTCTGTGTGTGTCCTCGCTCTCCTGCAGTAGCGCCAGGTAACCCTCTTTACTGGTGGCTCCTCCAGCCCAAACCAGGGCCTGTTGATGGCTGTGGCTTCTGGGGGGTTTGCAGGCCAGCAGGTAGAGGAGAGATAGGCAGCAGCACACCACCAGCACTATGACCCCAACACGGGCCACCAGAGCTAACAGCCACCTCCGGAGCATTGTGGATCCAGAGCACATTAGAGTTTACACAGCATATCTCTGGAGCATGGTAGGGGCTTTCAGCTAATAGAGGTCATCCTTCACTGTCCACACTCAGCTCGCTGTTGATCACCGACATCATCTGTCAAGTCCCCCATGACAGAATGGTCATAATGTCCCACGACACTAATTCCACTGTTAGATGAAGTCCGTCACAGCATATTCATGCCATATTAAAGGTTAAAGGTCATTCTTCCTTGCCTGAAATGGAAAACAAATGTATTACGTTTCTAATAGTAACATCCAGCTTTAACCTCTATGGGATCGGTGTCCCGTATACGGGACGGTTGAGCTAACGTGCGCTAATGTGATTAGCATGACTGTTGTAAGTAACATCAAACTTTCCAGGAGATAGACATGTCTTATATGGGCAGAAAGCTTAAATTCATGTTAATCTAACTGCACTGTCCAATTTACAGTAGCTATTACAGTGAAAAATACCATGCTATTGTTTGAGGAGAGTGCACAACAACAGAAAACTTATCACGGCAACTGGTTTGATACATTCACCTCTGAAGATAAATAATGTACACTACCGTTCAAAAGTTTGGGGTCACTTAGAAATGTTCTTGTTGTCATCAAATTGATCAGAAATACATTGTAGACATTGTTAATGTTGTAAATGGCTATTGTAGCTGGAAATGCTGATTTTTTATGGAATATCTACATAGGCGTACAGAGGCCCATTATCAGCAACCATCAGTCCTGTGTTCCAATGGCACGTTGTGTTTGCTAATCCAAGTTTATCATTTTAAAAGGCTAATTGATCATTAGAAAACCCTTTTGCAATTATGTTAGCACAGGTGAAACTGTTGGGCTGATTAAAGAAGCAATAAAACTGGCCTTATTGAGACTAGTTGAGTATCTGGAGCGTCAGCAATTGTGGGTTCGATTACAGGCTCAAAATGGCCAGAAACAAATAACTTTCTTCTGAAACTAGTCAGTCTATTCTTGTTCTGAGAAATGAATGATATTACATGCGAGAAATTGCCAAGAAACTGAAGATCTCGTACAATGCTGTGTACTACTCCCTTCACAGAACAGCGCAAACTGTCTCTAACCAGAATAGAAAGAGGAGTGGGAGGCCCCGGTGCACAACTGAGCAAGAGGACAAATACATTAGAGTGTCTAGTTTGAGAAACAGATGCCTCACAGGTCCTCAACTGGCAGCTTCATTAAATAGTACCCGCAAAACACCAGTCTCAACATCAACAGTGAAGAGGCGACTCTGGGATGCTGACCTTCTAGGCAGAGTTGCAAAGAAAAAGCCATATCTCAGACTGGCCAATAATAAGAAAAGATTAAGATGGGCAGTCTGAGATATGGCTTTTTCTTTGCAACTCTGCCTAGAAGGTCAGCATCCCGGAGTCGCCTCTTCGCCTCTTCACTGTTGACATTGAGACTGGTGATTTGCGGGTACTATTTAATGAAGCTGCCAGTTGAGGACCTGTGAGGCGCCTGTTTTTCAAACAGTTTTTTTTTGGCCAAACATTTTTAGTAAAAAGAAGACTGTAAAATCATCCGGAAATCAAATAAAAATGAGTATCATTTAGGAAATCTGATCCCAAGTATTCCCACAAATTAAAAAGAGACAGATGTGATCGTGTCGCACTCGTGTGTGTGTGTTTGTGTGTGTGTTTGTGTGTGTGTGTGTGTGTGTGTGTGTCAGGCTGTACTAATAGAAGACATACAGAGAAACACCTGAACTTACATACTCTTGCAGAACCACAGCGCTGTAGAAGAAAATGCCGGACACAAACCTCTCTCTGTATCTGTGTGTTTGTGTGTGTGGGTGTGTTTTGTTAGTCAACGTTTACTCACAGCACAGTTAGCCCTTTATAGGCCAGGTAGAGGTTGAACTCATGAAAGAGCTGCTTATGTTTCCAGGTCCATTCGAACTGTCAGAAAGGATACAGACAGCCTACAGTACACACCTGTGTGTGTGTGTGTGTGCATGTCTCAGAAAGGATACAGACAGCCTACAGATGTAGGATCTTAATTTGATCACCCTGTTACAGGATATATTTAAAAAGTGTATTGAATTTGAGGTTTAAAAGGGCTTCTGAAGTATGTAATATAATTAATGGACTTGATTTTCCCTTACAAAAGATATATCAACCCCTACAAAAATGTCCATTAATTATAATACACATAATAATTCACATTTCCTGTTGCTGCAGGATTATTTTCCTGCTGTAGCAAACTGACTCAAACTAAGTCCCTAGATCCTAGATCCAATCCACAGTATAGGATATTATACTACCTGCTAATATGTATGTGTGTGTGTGTGTGTGTGTGTCTGTTTTTGTCAGAAGTCTGTAAAAACGCTATGCTCTTCTTACGCTGATACTCTGCAGTGCTAGAAATCTCGTCGAGCTGAGCTTTGCATTGAAACATTGAGCCATCATTATAACAAATTCTAAATGAAGTGACATGGACTTTGGTCATGTTGCAGGACAGCTATCAGAGAGTTGAAAATACATAATTTGAATGAAGATACACATCTTTATCTGATGAAGGGATCTTCACTGAAATACTATATCTACGCACGTATAAGTAAAATGATAGAGATTCATATTTAACTAACATATCTCTGTCTCTGATTCACAGTTTGACATTAAGTTTCTGATTTTACTCAGAAAAACAGACAAACAAGTCTACAATCCACAAACCCTCAATAACTAAACACTTCTCATTCAATATAAAACAATGTATACTTTACTCACCAACTGCTCTCCAGCTCCCGGCACGCAACATAGCAGAGATACGACAGATCCAAAATGATTTAATAATCGCCATGCATCTCTTTTAAGAGTTAGCTAACTTATTGCACAGAGCTCTGAGCTGCCTTCATATTAACCCACGACAGAGCTCTATGTTCTATTCTCTAAGTACCCAGACATGCTCTTATTGAGAGAGGAGAGAGAGAGGATGAGAGATAGAGTAGAGAGGAGAGTGGATAGAAAAGGCGGAGAGAGACGATATGAAGGAGAGCGACGAGAGAGAGAGAGAGATGTAGAGACGAGAGAAGAGAGAGATCTCGAATAGAGAGGAGAGGAAGAGAGGAGAGAAGAGGAGAGAGAGATAGAGAAGAAGAGAGAGAAAGAGAGAGAGGAGAAGAGAGAGCGAGATAGAAGAGAGATAGATCGTATAGGAGGAGAGATAGAAGAAGGTGCGATATAGGGTCGAGAGAGGATAGATCGAGATCTCTATAGCTCTCGCGCTAGCTATCTCTCTCTTCTCTCTCTCTCTCTCTCGCTCTCTCTCTCTTCTCCTTTTCTTCTGCTCTCTCTCTCATTAGGACCCCTGAGAGAAAGAGAGAAAGAGAGAGAGAAAAAGAGAGAGAGAGAGGGGGGGGGGGAGACACAGAGAGAGCTGAAATGGCCCTGTTTGGCTGAGCTCACTGCTACTGAGTGCACTCTCTGTCTCAGCCTTCCTCTACCACCCCCCCCTCCCCATCAGACCAGACAAGCGGGCTGTCATGTGCCTTTTACTGAGGAGTGGCTTCCGTCTGGCCACTCTACCATAAAGGCCTGATTGCTGGAGTGCTGCAGAGATGGTTGTCCTTCTGGAAGGTTCTCCCATCCCCACAGAGGAACTCTGGAGCTCTGTCAGAGTGACCATCGGGTTCTTGGTCACCTCCCTGACCAATAATTTTTTGGTACCCTTCCCCAGATCTGTGCCTCGACACAAAAGTTGTCTCGCAGTTCTACGGACAATTCCTTCGACCTCATGGCTTGGTTTTTGCTCTGACATGCACTGTCAACTGTGGGACCTTATATGGACAGTTGTGTGCCTTTCCAAATCATGTCCAATCAATTGAATTTACCACAGGTACACTTCAATGAAGTTGTAGAAACATCTAAAGGATGATCAATGGAAACAGGATGCACCTGAGCTCAATTTCGAGTTTCAAAGCAAAGGGTCTGAATACTTATGTAAATAAGGTATTTCTGTTTCTTATTTTTAATACATTTGCTAAAATTTCTAAAAAACTATTTTCACTTTGTCATTATGGGGTATTGTATGTAGATTGATGAGGGGGAAAATGTAATTTAATCAATTTTAGAATAAGGCTGTAACGTAACAAAATGTGGAAAAAGGGAAGGGGTCTGAATACTTTCTGAATGTACTGTAGGTGTATATTAATCAATTGTTTACCTCTAGATAAACAAAGCAATGTTTTAGTCCAGTCTTAAACCCAGTTAGCCTGCAGGCCACCTACTCTTTTGCTGATTTATTTTTCCCTTGTTGCAACTCTGATTCTAGTTCCTGTCTCTTTCTGTGGCAACTAGATTTCCCCCCAAACACATACAATTCAAAGACCAGGGGAGCGGTGGAGATTCAGAGATTCAGATTGTTTAATAGTCACATATACAATAAAATTATGAAATAGAAATAACAACAATAGAAATAGCACTATTACATCATAATAACTGTAGCAGTGATGAATAAATAAATGGGGGTGGAGGCAGAGTAAATACTTTTGAGGGGGTGGGGTGGAATGATCATAGGGGGAGCAGCAGCATGACCATTGAGCAAAATAAAAACAATAAACATTTTAATAAAATATAATAATATACATATTAACAACTGCAACAGTGATAAAATGTCATTGGTGTGGGGGCAGAGTAAAAGTCTGTTGGCGGGGGGGGGGGGGGTGCTGGTAGCTGATTAGTGGTGGCTATTCAGCAGCCTGATGGTCTGAGGGTAGAAACTATTGGCCAGTCTTCAGTTTTTGCCATTATCCTCCTGTACTGCTCGTGTCTGAATGATTGAAGTTGGGAGAACAGGGCATAGCTTGGGAGGCTGGGGTCCCTGATGATCTTCTTGGCTTCCTGCAACACCTGGTGTAGTATGTATCCTGTAAGGCAGTGTGCACCCAATGGTGTGTTCGGCTGCACGTAACACCCTCTGAAGAGCCTTGCGGTCCATGGCGGTGGAGTTCCTGTACCAGGCTGTGATGCAGCCCAACAATATGCGCTTGATGGTGCTCCTGTAGAACACTATGAGGGCCCTCAGGGACAGGCCGGATTTCTTCAGCATCTTGAGGTTGAAGAGTTGCGGTTGTGCCTTCTTCACTACGGTGTCCATGTGGTTAGACCATTTCAGCTTCTCTGAGATATGTACATCAAGGAATTTTAAGTTATTGACCGTCTCCACGGCGGCCTCATTGATGAGGAAGGGGGCGTGTCCAGTCTTGTTCCTCCTGAACATTTTACATTTACATTTTAGTCATTTAGCAGACGCTCTTATCCAGAGCGACTTACAGTTAGTGAGTGCATACATTCTTTTTTTATTTTTCATACTGGCCCCCCGTGGGAATCAAACCCACAACCCTGGCGTTGCAAACGCCATGCTCTACCAACTGAGCTACATCCCTGCCAGCCATTCCCTCCCCTACACTGGACGACGCTGGGCCAATTGTGCGCCGCCCCATGGGTCTCCCGGTCGCGGCCGGCTACGACAGAGAAGTCCACTATCAGCTCCTTTGTTTTGCTGATGTTGAGGGAGAGGTTGTTTACTTGGCACCATGCTGTCAGAGTGCCTACCTCCTCCCTGTAGACTGGCTCGTCGCTGTTGGTGATCAGGCCTACTACTGTCGTGTCGTCAGCGAACTTGATGATGGAGTTGGAACTGTGAGGCTTCGCAGTCATGGGTATACAGAGAATACAGGAGGGGACAGAGGACGCACCCTTGTGGGGCCCCCTTGTTGAGGATCAGGGTCGAGGTGGTAATGTTGCCCACCTTCACCACCTGGGGGCGGCCCGTCAGGAAGTCCAGGACCCAGTTGCATAGGGAGGAGTACATGTGCTTTAGTGCTCAATTTAGGCAGTGCTTACTTGGTATGTGTTCGACTGGTAAAACAGTTTTAAAATACAGATTATTTCACAGAAATGTGTGAAAAGGAGCCATTAAACGTCACATAAAAAAAGAGCATATTCTTCAAAGAGCGAGAGAATTACATGCTGAGAATAATGATTGAGTTGTTCTTGAGATATAATCACACAACAACATTGAAACTCTCTAAACTACTGTAACTTGTGAAGAATCCTTTGCTTTATAAAAGTAATGTCACAGGTTTACTACACCACTAATACGACAGAAAACAGCGGGTGTATTGCCTTTGAGTTCTTAGATGCCTCAATCTATTAATGTGATTGGCTCGGTATCAAAACCAGGCTGTCTGCACATCTCAGGACCACAATAGTCTACTGAGCTAAAGCCTAGACATTAATGCTGGGACCTAATATGAGTCTTCAGGTGTCAGGCAAGGTTATAAAACACATGAGCATGGTTCACCAAACCACCTGTGCAGTGCGCTACACACATTTTTTGGCAACAGGTTTATTAAAAAAACAGTGTGTCAGAGTGCAATACATCAATGTCTACATACCAAAAAGTAACACCTTTCAGCCAAGAACCGAAATGTTGTGGTGAGAGGGTGATACACATTATTCACACTGCCTTGGTCCATCTACACCAACAGAAAACAAACATGTCATAAACACATTATAAACAAACAAAACAATATAACAAGTGACAAACCCAAACGGACTCCTCTGTGCGACAATACACACACAACACACACATGCCCATAGAACATCACTTTGTATTTTCCCAACACCATGGTTCTTATAGTTCCACTCTTGTCTTTACACATTCAAATCTACTGCCTGCTCCTCCACTCTCCAACAGTCTTCCCTCTTGCTGACTTTGGAACTAGCATTCACCTCTGAGGAAGTAAAAGACAGAAAGAGAGGAAACGAGAGAAGGTGAGAAAACGAGTGGCAGAGAGAGAGAGAGAGAGATCAAAGAGACAACAGAAGAGAGAAAGACAGACATAGAGAGAGTGACAGAAAGGACAGAGAGGGTGAGTGAGAGATAAAGGGGGAGAAAGAGAGAGAAAGAGTGAGACAGTCAGCCACAAAGAGAAAGAGTGACGGGGTGAACTGTGGGTAGCTGGAGACTGTCTGTCAGATAGAGCGTGGTGTAGACTCATGTCTGCAGCTCTGTGTTGGTTGCTAGGTAACAGAAGCTCTCAGAGTACTCTCCAGGTGGTAGCTAGGTTACACCATTTCACAGTCATCTGTGGGTGGTTTCTAGGATACACCAGACACTAGCGTCCACTTTCTGTTGGTTGCTAGGTTACACCAGTTCGTCCAGTAGTGTTCCTATGCTGTATAATTTGTTAAACATTCTAAGTAACTCTAATTGTTGACATCATAAATGATACATCTGTAAAATTCAGTCTAATTGATGACATCACAAAGCCTGAATCTATCAAATTCTGTATAATTGTTCACATTTAGGGTGACAGATAGCCTAGCGATTAGAGCGTTATTTATGCCAGTAACCGGAAAGTTGCTAGTTTGAATCCATAAGCCGACATGGTGAAAAATAATTGCAGATCCTAGCCCCTAGGAACATACTGAGATAAGCATACCATGAAATTGGGTACCGTCTGATGTATATATTTAATGTATTAAATGAATGGTGACCACAGCCCTTCCGAAAATACATTTCAATTGTGTTTTAATGCAATTTTTTTCCACCCTGCTCCGTGTATTTAATGTAGGTAGCCTAGCAGGTAGCCTAGCGGTTAAGAGCTTTGGACCAGTAACCAAAAGATTGGTGGTTCGAATCCCAGAGCTGACTAGGTGAAAAATCTGTCAATCTGTTAAGCAAGGCACTTAACCCTAATTGCTCTGGATAAGAGTGTCTGCTAAAATGTAAATATATATATATACAGTGGAGAGAACAAGTATTTGATACACTGCCGATTTTGCAGGTTGTCCTACTTACAAAGAATGTAGAGGTCTGTAATTTTTATCATAGGTACACTTCAACTGTGAGAGACGGAATCTAATAACAAAAATCCAGAAAATCACATTGTATGATTTTTAAGTAATCAATTTCAAATTTGGCTCCCAGTGTGGCTTTACTTCCGGGCTATTATGACGCATCTGGCAGTTCCTAGCCTGGCCCTGATGTCTCAGGGAGAGTTGGGATATGCACTTTTTATTTATATAGGACAAATATAAGCACCCTCCAAATAATAATAATAATTATTGTTATTATTATTATTATTATTATTATTATTATTATTATTATTACCACAAAGGCGATATCTGTAATATTCAGTCCAATTAATTACATCACACAGGGTGCATCTTGAAAATTCAGTCTAATTGATGACATTACAAAGGTAGCAACAGATCATCACAAAGGGAATTCCAGAGCATGAGAAAGTAACAAAAATGTTTTGCACATCAAAGGGATTCAAATGGATTTCAGTGTTTACCAAGAAGTACCTCTTTAGTCAGGCAAGTATTGTCTTCCTGTGACCCGGAAACATTTCATAACTGTGGGTATGTCAGTGACAAATCTCTCCATTCAAAAACCCAAGAGCTGTATGCTGACTGTAGAAATGAATGGCGGTGACCTCCTGCCTCCTAATATGGTACTCACTTCCTGTGAAAGGCATGTTGGCATGGCAACAGTCCCAGTTCATCTTTGACTTTAAAGTCTTCCAGGCAGACAGCACACGTCTGCTGTGAGAGTGACAGAGAGAGGAACACGAGCAGAGGAGAGACACAGGGAAGGATAGGTTGAGAGCGCAAGAGAGAGAACGATAGAATGACAGTGGCGCAATGGTAAGAAAGAGGAGACAGAAGAAGGGGCAGAGAGAGAGAGAAAGAAAGAGCGAGAGAGAGAAAGAGAGAGACAGAGAGAGAAAGTGAGAGAGAGAGAGAGAGAGAGGAGGTTGAGGTGGCATCAGATATTTTTATTATGTCCCACTATTACTATTATTGTTACTAAAATTGACAGACCTCATCATAACTATTAACAATCAGTAACATAAAGTAGATTGTATTCTTACCCCATGGAGATTCAACTTCTTAGGATCTCCTTTTAAAACCACCTCTCTGTAGCCAAACCTCTCGCTCTGTGCTTGGTGTCTTAGTTTACTGTGTGTGAACAAACACACAAAGTACAACCATTAGAGATGACCTACTGTATGTCATTGGTAAGAGTCTTTTTTGCAAGCAGTCCCAGTCCCCCAAGAGACCCAGAAATCAAATCAATCACTGTGCTTTTATTGGTTGGAGCAATAAAAGGTACAGTGGCTTGCGAAAGTATTCACCCCCCTTGGCATTTTTCCTATTTTGTTGCCTTACAACCTGGAATTAAAATTGATTTTTGGGGGGTTTGTATCATTTGATTTACACAACATGTCTACCCCTTTGAAGATGCGAAATATTTTTTATTGTGAAACAAAAAGAATAAGACAACAAAACAGAAAACTTGAGCGTGCATTAACTATTCACCCCCCCCCCCCCCTCAGCTGCAAGTCTCTTGGAATCTGTGGTATTTTAAGTCATACCACAGATTCTCAATTGGATTGAGGTCTGGGCTTTGACTAGGCCATTCTAAGACATTTAAATGTTTCCCCTTAAACCACTCAAGTGTTGCTTTAGCAGTATGCTTAGGGTCATTGTCCTGCTGGAAGGTGAGCCTCCGTCCCAGTCTCAAATCTCTGGAAGACTGAAACAGGTTTCCCTCAAGAATTTCCCTGTATTTAGCGCCATCCATCATTTCTTCAATTCTGACCAGTTTCCCAGTCCCTGCCGATGAAAAACATCCCCACAGCATGATGCTGCCACCACCATGTTTGGTGTTCTCAGGGTGATGAGAGGTGTTGGGTTTGCGCCAGACATAGCGTTTTCCTTGATGGCCAAAAAGCTCAATTTTAGTCTCATCTGACCAGAGTAGCTTCTTCCATATGTTTGGGTAGTCTCCCACATGCCTTTTGGCGAACACCAAACGCGTTTGCTTATTTTTTTCTTCAAGCAATGGCTTTTTTCTGGCCACTCTTCCGTAAAGCCCAGCTCTGTGGAGTGTACGGCTTAAAGTGGTCCTATGGACAGATACTCCAATCTCCGCTGTGGAGCTTTGCAGCTCCTTCAGGGTTATCTTTGGTCTCTTTTTTGCCTCTCTGATTAATGCCCTCCTTGCCTGGCCCATGGGTTTTGGTGGGCGGCCCTCTCTTGGCAGGTTTGTTGTGGTGCCATATTCTTTCCATTTTTTTTATAATGGATTTAATGGTGCTCTGTGGGATGTTCAAAGTTTCTGATATTTTTATATAACCCAACCCTGATCTGTACTTCTCCACAACTTTGTCCCTGACCTGTTTGGAGAGCTCCTTGGTCTTCATGGTGCCGCTTGCTTGGTGGTGCCCCTTGCGTAGTGGTGTTGCAGACTCGCCTTTCAGAACAGGTGTATATATACTGAGATCATGTGACAGATCATGTGACACTTAGATTGCACACAGGTGGACTTTATTTAACTAATTATGTGACTTCTGAAGGTAATTGGTTGCACCAGAGCTTATTTAGGGGCTTCATCGCAAAGGGGGTGAATACATATGCACGCACAACTTTTCCGTTATTTATTTTTTGCATTTCACTTCACCAATTTGGACTATTTTGTGTATGTCCATTACATGAAATACAAATACAAATCCATTTAAATTACAGGTTGTAATGCAACAAAATAGGAAAAACGCCAAGGGGGATGAATACTTTTGCAAGGCACTGTACCTATTCAGGAATACAAATCATCTCTGTATTGTGACCTAATGAGATAGCCAATACCAGGCCTTAACTGGATATCTTACTGAGTGTGGAGATTCTCCTCCTGGAATGTCACGAAAGGTCATGTCAAGGTCATGGGAAACAACTCTGATATTGTGAAGAATGTTTGGCATGACATTCAGAGCAGGCCAAACGATCTGGCATACCTTGTCTTGGTCTGCACCCTGATGGAGCCTTTAAATCAGAAACGTTCGTTTTTGGGAGAAAAAATAAAACATCTTCCAAAGGTCCACCTTTGTCAAACAGTGGCTGAATATCGTTTAAGATCTAGGCATAATATTCAGTCCAATATATCTCAGACTAACATGTGCACGCCAATCTATATTTATGGTTTATAAATTCAAAAATGTGAGTGCTGCAAAATGAATGTAAAAAAAATACAAATACTTGAATTAGCCAAACAATGGACCAATGAGAGACTGAAGATGTCACGCCCTGACTCAGGGGACGCTTATATGTTGAGTCAGGGTGTGTATATTCCTTGTTGTGCTTTTTCTATGTGGCTTGTCTAGTATGTATAGTTCTATGTTGGCCGGTGTGGTTCCCAATCAGAGGCAGCTGTCGCTCGTTGTCTCTGATTGGGGATCATACTTAGGCAGCCGTTTGGCACTAGTGAGTTGTGGGATCTTGTTCCGGTTAAGGTTGGTTGTATCTACCTTAGGACTTCACTTCACGTTTTGTTCGTGTGTTTATTTAGTTGAATAAACATGTACGTATATCACGCTGCGCCTTGGTCTGTCCCGTCATTCAACGAACGTGACAGAAGATCCCACCAAACAAGGACCAAGTAGCGTGCCCAGGCGGAGCGGATGGCCATGTCACAGGTGGCCAATTTGTGGTCATGGGAGGAGATATTTGCGGGGAAAGGACCATGGGCTAAGGTAGATGCCCAGGCAGGGGAGGAGCAACGGCAACACGGAGGAGGCCGGTCGAGGAGGAAGCCCGAGAAGCAGCCCCAATAATATTTTTTTTTGGGGGGGGGGCACACGGTGTGGACGACGAGCTAGCAGGAGGCCGTGAAAGGGCGGATCTGCAGGTTAGGAGAGGAGGCCACCATGTTACGGGGGCTGTTGGCTCAGAGGGAGCAGGAGTTATTCGGTCAGAGGGAGGCGCTACAGGAGGCTAAAAGGGAGAAGGAAAAAGTAGAGGCACGGCGAGAGGAGCTGGTTAGGCAGCAGAAGGAGCGGGGGTTAATAAAGGAACCCAGTCCTGCTCCTCGCACCAAGCAAATGGTGCGTGTCGCCAGTCCGGCCCGGCCCGTTCTTGCTCCTCGCACCAAGCCTGTGGTGCGCGTCGCCAGTCCGGCCCGGCCCGTTCCTGCTCCTCGCACCAAGCCTGTGGTGCGCGTCGTCAGTCCGGCCCGGCCCGTTCATGCTCCTCGCACCAAGCCTGTGGTGCACGTCGTCAGTCCGGCCCGGCCCGTTCCTGCTCCTCGCACCAAGCCTGTGGTGCGCATCGCCAGCCCGGCCCGGCCCGTTCCTGCTCCTCGCACCAAGCCTGTGGTGCGCGTCCCCAGTCCGGCCCGGCCCGTTCCGGCTCCTCGCACCAAGCCAGTGGTGCGCGTCGCCAGTCCGGCCCGGCCCGTTCATGCTCCTCGCACCAAGCCAGTGGTGCGCGTCGCCAGTCCGGCCCGGCCCGTTCCTGCTCCTCGCACCAAGCCTGTGGTGCGCGTCGCCAGTCCGGCCCGTTCCTGCTCCGCGCACCAAGCCTGTGGTGCGCGTCGCCAGCCCGGCCCGGCCCGTTCCTGCTCCTCGCACCAAGCCAGTGGTGCGCGTCGCCAGCCCGGCCCGGCCCGTTCCTGCTCCTCGCACCAAGCCAGTGGTGCGCGTCGCCAGCCCGGCCCGGCCCGTTCCTGCTCCTCGCACCAAGCCAGTGGTGCGCGTCGCCAGCCCGGCCCGGCCCGTTCCTGCTCCTCGCACCAAGCCAGTGGTGCGTGTCGCCAGTCCGGCCCGGCCCGTTCCTGTCCCTCGCACCAAGCCAGTGGTGCGTGTTCCTAGTCAGGTCCGGCCCGTGCCTGCTCCTCGCACCAGACCAGTGGTGCGTTTGTCCACTCCGGCACGGCCCGTGCCTGTTCCGGCTCCGGTCAGCGGCTCCACTCCGGAGCCAGAGCAGTCTGCTCCACCGGTGCCTGATCCAGCTCCGGTCAGCGGCTCCTCTCCGGAGCCAGAGCAGTCCGCTCCACCGGTGCCTATTCCAGCTCCGGTCAGCGGCTCCAGTCCAGACCATGACGTCAGCCCCTCTCCAGGTTCGGGGTCTCCCACACCAGGGTCCAGACAGGGCCTGGCGTATCGTGGGAGGAAGGAGAGGGGAAGCAGCGCGCCGAGGTCCAGACCAGACCAGGGGCGCAACAGGGAGGCGGAGAGTGAGAGGTCGTCACGCCCCTACCCTGTTATGTTTATGTTGTGCGGTCGGAGTCCGCACCTTTGGGGGGGGGGGGGTTCTGTCACGCCCTGACTCAGGGGACGCTTATATGTTGAGTCAGGGTGTGTATATTCCTTGTTGTGCTTTTTCTATGTGGCTTGTCTAGTATGTATAGTTCTATGTTGGCCGGTGTGGTTCCCAATCAGAGGCAGCTGTCGCTCGTTGTCTCTGATTGGGGATCATACTTAGGCAGCCGTTTGGCACTAGTGAGTTGTGGGATCTTGTTCCGGTTAAGGTTGGTTGTATCTACCTTAGGACTTCACTTCACGTTTTGTTGTGTGTTTATTTAGTTGAATAAACATGTACGTATATCACGCTGCGCCTTGGTCTGTCCCGTCATTCAACGAACGTGACAGAAGAAATGTTGTGAATTCCAAACATATTAATTCTCCAACCACACCACTTTGAAATTCACCATAGCTCTTTCTAAGAGCATCAATGAGATTACATGAAAGTTGCAGAGCATGGTAAGGATCATGAACAAGCAACACCAAGCAGCATTAAGAAAGCAATGAGATTACATGACAAATAATGAAGGGATTCTTTATTGAAATAGCAATAGCAGGTCAAGCCCAACTTGATTGATAGCCTAGATTACAAACATGTAAAATTACTACCAGTTAAAATATTGCCATTTAAATTTGACCAATCCCACTTGAAAGCCATAGTGGCACAAATATATTCAACTGTAGGCTGATACAATTAAACAAAACGACTATACCTTGTATTGCAAAATAATATTTATGTATTCAATATCCTTTATTCTTGGCAAATCAAAAATATCAACCCAAATAGAATAAATTAAGTTATTTTTTTTTAAATAGTCTAATATCACTTGAAATAGGAGTGGAATAGTCCTTCGCATTTAACACATTAGATTTCGGTCAACATCAGAGATAAATTAACGCTCACCGTTATACCACTGAAACGGGTGCATCAATACACCGGAGGTGGTCCTGGATGAGAAAGGATTTGTGTTTTATCAATAAACGGTTGATGCTACAGTGGCAGTGGGGCTCGTCCGCCGTATATGCAGTTGGCTGTTTTCAAACCACCTTATGATTCGATAGTCAGCCCAAAATAGAAAATATAGCATATTTCCAATAAAAACACTGTATGGCGCTAAATGTAACCTATCGGTAAAGTTGTTGGCGTAAAGGCCAAATGGAGCGATAATTTACGCGGCGGTTCATCTTTCAGATACTGGTGTTGTTGCTAATTACGAAAATAAATTCCACCCTTCCACAGTTCAATTAAATAGGCTACCACTGATTTACCCTTCAATAATTTGATCTATTCGCAAGCAGCTTCAAACCAATGAAAACCAATTACTGTATATAACTGACCCAGCATCTGTGGAGAGAACGCTTGATCACTTATAAAAGCGATAGACATCCAGATGGTCCAATCGCTACCTGCCCTGGCCCCACTGTGAAAGTTTCCACTAGATAGCACAGCCACAAAGTCTGAATTGGTTATATCGGGTTTATGTCTTTGTGGCTGTGGTAACAAGTGACGACCAGTCTGTAACCAAGTTTGGAACCCCTTCTGTTGGCGTCGTTGTGTTGTGACGGCGCGGGCATGCTATGTTATTATACTGAACAAAAATATAAACGCAACATGCAACAATTTCAAAGATTTTACTTAAGTTACAGTTCATATAAGGAAATCAGGCAATTGAAATAAATTCATTAGGCCCTAATCTATGAATTTCACATGACTGGGAATACAGATATGCATCTGTTGGTCACAGATACCTAAAAAAAAAAATGGGTCTCACAATGTGCCTCAGTATCTCGTCACGGTATTTCTGTGCATTCAAATTGCCATTGATAAATTGCAACCATGTTCGTTGTCTGTAGCTTATGCCTGCCCATACCATAACGCCACCATGGGGCACTCTGTTCACAAAGTTGACATCAGCAAACTGCTCGCCCCCACACTACACCTTACACGTGGTCTGCAGTTGTGAGACAGGTTGGACATGCTGCCAAATTCTCTAAAACGACTTTGGAGGAGGCTTAGAGAAATGAACATTCAATTATTTGGCAACAGCTCTGGTGGACATTCCTGCAGTTAGCATGCCAATTGCACGCTCCCTCAAAACTTAAGACATATGTGGCATTGTGTTGTGTGACAAAACTGCACATTTTAAAGTGGCCTTTTATTGTCCCCAGTACAAGGTGCACCTGTGTAATGATCATGCTGTTTAATCAGCTTCTTGATATGCTGTCAGGTAGATGGATTATCTTGGCAAAGGAGAAATGCTCACTAACAGGGATGTAAACAATTTTGTGCACAAAATTTGAGAGAAATAAGCTTTTTGTATTTAGCCTACAGGAAAATCATAATTTCATGCGGTGCAATTCTACATATAATAATTTGTTGTTGTTGTTGCAATGATCACTCAACATTTCTAAAAGTCTGTATATGAAGTGTCTGAACATGTCACATGTCACAGCTAACAATTAGTGCCCATGGTAAACTTCTCATAACATCCCATAATAACATCAGTGAGGAATGATAGAGTTGTGAGGCAGAACTTCAACATCTCAGAAGAAGTAGATCTGCTCGTATCCAGTGAAGTTGCCAGCATAGGTTGGTGTGTAGTTGTATATGAGGTACATGGCCTCTTCCTCAGGCTGGTCGAAGTGATGCAAACTTCTCCTGCCTTTTAACATAGAATATAACTTTATTGTGCATCCAAAAAGCCACATTTCGCTATTTACTAAACCTCACAAGTTAACACTATACTGTCGTAAAATAAAATCTACAATACAATATACTGTATCTGGCCGACTGTAAAGAACACAACGATTAAACTTCAATAGGTGTGATCTGATTACCCACCTTCATTGACAAAGAACTCAGCCAGTAGGGAGGCAACACGTACAGCGTCTGAGGAGTGGGGGAAGTTGAGTTTGGGGTCCCACTGGAAACGGTTCACCTCAGGATGCCACTGGACCCCATAGAAGGGGTAGGTCCTCCCTGGGGCAAAGACAGTTCCAAACTCAATACAGGATCCCACATTACCTTATGACAGTGAGCAGACTATAACCTAGTTCCTTAGACGTCCTTCCTGGTGGTGAGCAATCAGAGCAATAGTATTATTGCACTATACAATTTAATTAATACAATTATTATAATTTTGTAATAATAACAACCATACATTTGTGCAGCATAGCTCGTACAGATTATGCAGCCCACCCACACTGCTTTATGTAAAAAAAATGTAAATCACTGTGATCTGTTACAGGACAATTTTGTTAACTGAATGGATGACACATCTAAAACTGTAGTTCTACTTGTTGTTGATTATACCTTCCATGGTTGAGACAAAGATGGCACCATTCTCAGCTGTGTTCGTGGACAAGATGGAGAAGAAACTTTGTAGCTTCTCATTTTCCTTGAATGTCTGTAAGCAAAGGCCATAAGCAAAGTAGTTGATAGTCAAAACCAGTCCAGAGTCATATTGTATTCAACAGAGCTGTACGCTAAGCAATATTAATTTGAAATCTGATTGCACCTTCACGGTCACTCCATAATGGTGAAAATTCCCTGTCAAAGCTTCCTGGGATAATGCCTTCATGACATCACTGGGGAACCCCTCGAACATTTGACTGGAATGGGCCTCTGCAGGGAGAGAGGAAAGACATTCAATATCGTTTTTTAGGTTACAACCATGGGGAGCGAAATTCATCAGTCCTCTCGATTCAGCCAAGAGGAAGCATAAATGCACTGTATGAAGATGGAAACTGTTCTGCAATAAGTGTGGGAGTTGTCAGGATGTAGATTCCCTCATGAGCTTCATTGAGATTCTGACATAAGACCACTCTTGTTCTGTCTTGATCAGAAGCTCCTCCTGTATTTCCTGCCCTCCAGTGGTCGATTTTAGCATGTGCAGCATAATGAAGTCTTCAGACCCAGTCCCAAACCGTATCTTTGACCTTATCCCTAGCACTTGACTCCCCTACAGAGGTGTGAAAGGATTGGGCCATACCTGTGGTGAGGTTCAGGGGCAGGGCCATGTTCTCAGCTGTGGTTTTGGTCAGCAGGTTCTCTCCAGCCACCAGACAAGTCAGCAGCTGCATCCCCAGACATGTGCCCCAGATAGGGAAGGAGTCTCCAGCATCATTGGCCTGAAACAAGGGAACACATAAGTCTATTAGACAGTGTTGGGAGAATGTGAGATGTATACTGATGGTAAACAGACATACAATCAAATAGACAGATGTAAAAAGAGGCCTACAGAGCATTAGACAGACAGCCAGACAGACAGACAGACACAGACAGACATTAGCCAGCTTTACTCAGGAGCACCACTGACCTTGAGGGCAAGCCTGTAGAAGATCCCTGCCACCTTGGCAAAGTCTGATGTCTCGAGATCTGACGAACCTCCGATGAGCAGCAGGCTGTGAGATCGATCAATCAATCAATCAATCGTTTTACATTTGGTTTGCAATCACGTAAAAACAATAAAATACACAAAATTCCTACACAGAAAAAAATGATAATATGATAGCCTACCCATTAATCGACTTGAAGATTTTCTCATACTCAGCAGTACTCTGAGTCAACCTGTAGGAGAGGAACAGGCACTGATTAAAAGTGGTAAAGGTTTTAAAGATTTGAGAAATACATTTTTGGATGACCAGCCATGCACAGTTATAGGCTGCTATGTTCAACCAGTTATTTACAGTGCTGTGAAAAAGCTGGGTCATGCAGCAAGACAATGATCCAAATCACACAATCAAGTCTAGTTTGGAATGACCTAGGTCGAAGTCCAGACCTAATCCCAATTGAGATGTTGTGGCAGGACTTGAAATGAGCAGTTCATGCTTGAAAACCCACAAATGTCGCTGAGTTAAAGCAGTTCTGCATGCAAAAGTGGGCCAAAATTCCTCCACAGCGATGTGTGAGACTGATCAACATCTAAAGGAAGCATTTGGTTGCAGTCATTGCATCTAAATGTGGCACAACCAGTTATTGAGTGTGAAGGGAATTACTGTACTTTTTCACACAGGGGAATTGGTGTTACATAACTTTGTAATTAAATAAATAAAACAAGTATCAATTTTTTTGGTTATTTGTCAACTGAGGTTCCCTTTATCTAATATTAAGTTTTGGTTGAAGATCTGATAACATTCAGTTTCAAAAATATGCAAAAATAGAAAAAATCTGAAAAGGGGCAAATACATTTTCATGGCACTGTAGATGTAATATTGGTATATACCTATTGGGAAACATAAACTTTGAGGTGCAAAGTGTCTGGATTTCTCTTTGTTTGAACATGAAACAGAGGAAACCAGATACTTTTCAACAGTGAGTATGAACATATCTAACTTTATATCGGCCTACCTGATAGGCACCACTCTACTTCCCGCTGACTCTATATACTTTACATAGGAAGCAGGGATGTAGGTCTTTCCAAATGGCTTCATCACATCATCTTCTACTTCTTGAGTTAAAATTCCTGTGGGACATACAGAAATTATAAGCTACAGTCCATAACAGTGTCCATCCAGTAGGACTTCTCAAATAGTTCCAGTGAAGTTTGATGAGGATATCTGTAGACTACATAATAGACCTCAAACTACACCAGTGGAGGCCCCTCAGAGGAGGAAGGGGAACCATCCTCCTCAGTGAATTTGATATTTAAAAAAAGGTAAAACATTAAAAAAGTTATCATTTTTAGATAAAACTATACTCACGTCACCAAATAATTGATTAAACACACTATTTTGCAAAGAAGGTCTACAGTAGCCTCAACAGCACTCTGTAGGGTAGCACCATGGTGTAGCCGGAGGACAGCTAGCTTCCATCCTCCTCTGAGTACATTGACGTCAATACAAAACCTAGGAGGCTCATGGTTCTCACCGCCTTCCATAGACTTACACAGTAATTATGACAACTTCCGGAGGACATCCTCCAACCTAGCAGAGCTCTTGCAGCATGAACTGACATGTTGTCCACCCAATCAAGGGATCAGATAATTAATCTAGTACTGAAAGCATAAGCTACATCTAGCTAGCACTGCAGTGCATAACATGTTGTGAGTAGCTGACTCAAAGAGAGAGAAAGAAAATAGTTGAACAGTTTGAGCAAATTAATTTCTTCCTAAATTAATGAGAAGCAAGAGAGAAATAGAGAGAGAGATTTCGTCATGTTTTTTTCACTTTCAGTTCCACTTACTTAGCTAGCAAATGTAGCTAGCTAGTTTAGCCTACTGAAACACCCTGCTCAAACAGAGGGATGCTATGTTAGCTAGCTAGCTATGACTATCCAACACATCACTGGAAATCTTCCAAGTCAAGGTAAGCCTTGGGTTTTACTCATTTATTGCCACTGGGGCCCACCGGTGTAACTGCTTACTGACTGTACACTGTAACGTTGCTGTATGATTGTAGCAGGTTTACTAACACGTTAGTTATATTAACTATGCTGACTATGACATTACTTTAGATAATATGGTGACAACAATGTAGGCTGTGTGTAGCGGTTTGGCTTGGAAAGGTTTTTTCCCTGGTCACATACAGCTGATGTTTTGTCCACAAGCGATGGGAAGAGGTGAAAGGAGGAGAGCGCATAACGTAGATGCGAGAAGGAATACAACGTGGCTGCTATGAAACTGTGAACTGTGTTAACGCGTGATCAGGGGTGTATTCATTCTGCCGATTCTGTTGAAAAACTTGTCTTAAACAGAAGCAAACGGAACAAAATGCGGATAAACATACCTGAATTTGTCCAATAGAAACTCTTGTTTGCAACTGTTGGACTAATGATTACACCCACTATCAGCTAGATGCAGGCAAGAGTATGCAAGGCGGTATTGAATGTCACTGTCTGTCCATGTATCACTGTTTGTCACATCAAATTTGTATTTACGACCTGTGTGCACCTAAGTTGTAAACTTTCATTCATAGGCTAGGTTGTAGCAACCTCATGATGTGTATAGGGAAAATTAGAGTATCATGTAGTAGCCTAAACCTATCACTGTTACATTTAACTGGGTGAATGGCATATGACTGACAGTCATCCAATATGCTGTAATAGAAATAAGGCCATGCTCATGAAAAAAAAAATCGTCCTCCCTCATCTGAAATGGCACTGATGACAACTGAACTACACAATAAGCAAAAGTAATTCATTTTCATTAAATTCATTAAATTATATAACAGTTTCAATTTTGCATGTATTGACTTGATTTCTCTTCAAAACAAGTTATTGCTTTATGTAAGCTAATTGTTATTTTAGCTAAATTCATATTCATACATGTACATTTATGATTCGAAAACCTCTGTTTATTATTTTTTTAGAATTAAATTGAACAATATATAAACACAATTTCTTCTTCTCATAACAAAACAATCAAAACTCAATGTTTGTACAGGTCTTTATAATGTATTGTCTGTATTCCCAACTGTTTGTAATGTTTGTATACAGTTGTATACTCTTTGTTTGTTTTTGCTGTATTGTATATTTTGAATCGCTTCACCCAACAACATATATTTTTTTTTACGCACCAATAATCGGTCGGTTGTTGACTGGACCCGGATCGCGTCTCGTCGGTAATGCGTCGCTCCAACAGACGAAAATTAAAGGTAAACACACCACAGTGCCTAACATTTTCTCACAGTGCAGTTCGAACAGATCTGTCGCCCGTTATGACAGTGTGTTATTGAAAACTTATTGAAAACTAAAAAGGAGGAAGTGTTTATAGAAAAAGCCTGCAAGACAACTCCCACGCGATGTGCAAGGGGGAAGTCAGGAGATTCCAGTTTGACATGTGAGATTTCTTTAAGCACAAGGTCCTGTGCACTATTGTATTTAAGGTAAGAATATCTGCAATTCCACCAGACAAACAGATTTATCGGGTGGTTAATTGTGCCATAACATAATTGGAAATGGAGACTCCATTGTTGCAAAATGTGTATGTGGTCATTGTTTGCATTAACTGGTGAATCCCAGATGATACATGAATGAGCCACGTCATATCTGGCAGTGGATCCAGGTAATTCTGTTTTAAAGGCCCAGTTCAGATTTTCCTGTGTTTTATATACACTATATTGCCACACTATGAGGTTGGAATAATACTGTGAAATTGTGAAAATGATAATACCCTTTTAGTATAAGTAATGTTTGAAAGGACCGCTTGAAATGTCTACCTGTTTTGGTGGGATGGAGTTTTGGCCTGCCTGGTGATTCAATTAGTTAATATACCAATAAGAAAGAGTTCCAAACCTCTGCTAATAACAGCTAGATTTCAGTTTCCCCCTCCCAACTCAGACCACTCCCAGACAGTCCTAGCAAAATTCTAGCTTGAGAAATTGCTCTTTGCTTAGAAGTTATTTTTGTTTCTTTTTGACAATTTTAATTGAAACAATCACAGTTAAGGTAGTTAATTTTGACCCAGAAATGATTTGATATTGAGATAAAAACAGCTGGATTGGACCTTTAAAAGGCTAGTAGTGAATAGGCTCCAGACAAGACTGTGAATTTTGACCTGCTGAATGAATAGCCTATTCATTTAAGGTGTCACCTTTTCATATAGGCTAACTCTGTAGAATTATAAGAGACATGCACTGAAATATTAAATTACATTTAAATTCAAGGATTATACAGATGAACTGATGCCACCATGTTGAGATGTGGAGGTACAGTATTTATGCCATGGGACATGGGCATTTGGAGGTGTCATGCTGGGAGAAACTAGAGAAGTCAAAGGTTCTGTGGTTGGAACCTGGAGCTTCTGCAACATGAGGGAGAAACAGGGAAGTACTAGGAAAGTTTATTCACACATGTCATAGTAATTGCATACTCATATCAGCTTGAAACATACAAAATACTCACACAAAAATCTGTATGTTGCCGAAAACACAAGCTTAAGTTACAGTAGACTACATAATATTGCCACTTATTTCACAATAAGACAGGTTTCTCAAGTTTGACTTCCAAACCATCAGCGGTCTCATCTCTAAAGGGAGGTATGTAAAAATAATTATACAGCCAGACACTGCTAGGAAAAGCAGAACTTTGAATACAGCTTAACTTTGAATACTGGGAGCTAGAATGCAAGTCTCCCACATAGCCTATACCAACTTAAAGGAAAATTCCACTCCAAAACTATATTTTGGTATTTGTTTCATTAGTCCACTGCTGGTACAGTACCAAAATGTTTTGCATGTCAGCAATCAAGTTTTAAAGATATATAACTTTCAAAGTACAGAAAGAGTCACAGTATCTTTATTATTACACTGTTGCTACTCGCTGTTTATTATCTATGCATAGTCACTTTACCCCTACCTACATGTACAAATTACCTCGACTAGCCTGTACCCCCGCACATCGACTCGGTACCGGTACCCCCTGTATACATAATAATGGCGCCGGAGGGGATGACGTTTTACGGGCTCCAAACCAACTGTGCTATTTTGTTTGTTTGTAACTTATTTTGTACATAATGTTGCTGCTACTGTCTCTTATGACCGAAAATAGCTTCTGGACATCAGAACAGTGGTTACTCAACTCGAACTGGGCCCTGTGTAGCTCAGTTGGTAGAGCATGGCGCTTGCAACGCCAGGGTTGTGGGTTCGATTCCCACAGGGGGGCCAGTATGAAAAATAAAATGCTCTGGATAAGAGTGTCTGCTAAATGACTAAAAATAAATAACAACAACAACAACAACAAAAAATATATAAAAATAATAAAAGAGAAAAAGCAAACAAAAAAATATATATATACAGTGGGGGAAAAAAGTATTTAGTCAGCCACCAATTGTGCAAGTTCTCCCACTTAAAAAGATGAGAGAGGCCTGTAATTTTCATCATAGGTACACGTCAACTATGACAGACAAATTGAGAAAAAGAAATCCAGAAAATCACTTTGTAGGATTTTTAATGAATTTATTTGCAAATTATGGTGGAAAATAAGTATTTGGTCACCTACAAACAAGCAAGATTTCTGGCTCTCACAGACCTGTAACTTCTTCTTTAAGAGGCTCCTCTGTCCTCCACTCGTTACCTGTATTAATGGCACCTGTTTGAACTTGTTATCAGTATAAAAGACACCTGTCCACAACCTCAAACAGTCACACTCCAAACTCCACTATGGCCAAGACCAAAGAGCTGTCAAAGGACACCAGAAACAAAATTGTAGACCTGCACCAGGCTGGGAAGACTGAATCTGCAATAGGTAAGCAGCTTGGTTTGAAGAAATCAACTGTGGGAGCAATTATTAGGAAATGGAAGACATACAAGAACACTGATAATCTCCCTCGATCTGAGGCTCCACGCAAGAACGGTGAGCAAAAATCCCAGAACCACACGGGGGGACCTAGTGAATGACCTGCAGAGAGCTGGGATCAAAGTAACAAAGCCTACCATAAGTAACACACTACACCGCCAGGGACTCAAACCCTGCAGTGCCAGACGTGTCCCCCTGCTTAAGCCAGTACATGTCCAGGCCCGTCTGAAGTTTGCTAGAGTGCATTTGGATGATCCAGAAGAGGATTGGGAGAATGTCATATGGTCAGATGAAACCAAAATATAACTTTTTGGTAAAAACTCAACTCGTCGTGTTTGGAGGACAAAGAATGCTGAGTTGCATCCAAAGAACACCATACCTACTGTGAAGCATGGGGGTGGAAACATCATGCTTTGGGGCTGTTTCTCTGCAAAGGGACCAGGACGACTGATCCGTGTAAAGGAAAGAATGAATGGGGCCATGTATCGTGAGATTTTGAGTGAAAACCTCCTTCCATCAGCAAGGGCATTGAAGATGAAACGTGGCTGGGTCTTTCAGCATGACAATGATCCCAAACACACCGCCCGGGCAACGAAGGAGTGGCTTCGTAAGAAGCATTTCAAGGTCCTGGAGTGGCCTAGCCAGTCTCCAGATCTCAACCCCATAGAAAATCTTTGGAGGGAGTTGAAAGTCCGTGTTGCCCAGTGACAGCCCCAAAACATCACTGCTCTAGAGGAGATCTGCATGGAGGAATGGGCCAAAATACCAGCAACAGTGTGTGAAAACCATGTGAAGACTTACAGAAAACGTTTGACCTGTGTCATTGCCAACAAAGGGTATATAACAAAGTATTGAGAAACTTTTGTTATTGACCAAATACTTATTTTCCACCATAATTTGCAAATAAATTCATAAAAAATCATACAATGTGATTTTCTGGATTTTTTTTCCTCATTTTGTCTGTCATAGTTGACGTGTACCTATGATGAAAATTACAGGCCTCTCTCATCTTTTTAAGTGGGAGAACTTGCACAATTGGTGGCTGACTAAATACTTTTTTTCCCCACTGTATATAATGAGTCCGACGCGAAGGATATACTGCTTTCCCGAGACCAGGCCCAAATCCCCATCTTTCGCATGAAGAAAAGACAGAGATACAGGGGGCAGAGGTCGGGGTGCCTTGTGAGAATTCGTTGGCGAGTAGGTAAACCGCCACTACCTTTCGTCCTATTGGCCAACGTGCAATCATTGGAAAATAAACTGGATGATCTACGATTAAGACTATCTTACCAACGGGACATTAAAAACTGTAATATCTTATGTTTCACCGAGTCGTGGCTGAATGACGACACAGATAATATAGAGCTTGCTGGGTTTTCCGTGCATCGGCAGGACAGAACAGATACGTCTAGTAAGACGAGGGGTGGGGGTGTGTGTCTATTTGTCAATAACAGCTGGTGAGCAATGGTCTAATATTAAAGAAGTATCGATGTATTGCTCGCCTGAGGTAGAGTACCTCATGATAAGCTGTAGACCACAATATCTAGCAAGAGAGTTCTCATCTATATTATTCATAGCCATCTATTTACCACCACAAACCGATGCTGGCACTAAGACCGCACTCGGGAGCTGTATAAGGCCATAAGCAAACAAGAAAATGCTCATCCAGAAGCGGCGCTCCTAGTGGCCGGGGACTTTAATGCAGGCAAACTTCAATCCGTTTGACCTCATGTCACATGTGCAACCAGAGAAAATAAAAAAAGAACTCTAGACCACCTTTACTCCACACACAGAGACGCATACAAAGCTCTCCCTCGCCCTCCATTTGGCAAATCTTACCATAATTATATCCTCCTGATTCCTGCTTACAAGCAAAAACTAAAGCAGGAAGTACCAGTGACTCACTCATTACGGAAGTGGTCAGATGATGCGGATGCTACACTACAGGACTGTTTTGCTAGCACAGCCTGGAATATGTTCCGGGATTCATCCAATGGCATTGAGGTGTATACCACCTCAGTCACCGGCTTCATCAATAAGTGCATCGACGACGTCGTCCCCACAGTGACCGTACGTACATATCCCAACCAGAATCCATGGATTACAGGCAACATCCCCACCAAGCTAAAGGCTAGAGCTGATGCTTTCAAGGAGCGGGACACTAATCCGGACGCTTATATGAAATCCCGCTATGCCCTCAGACGAACCATCAAACAGTCAAATGGTCAATACAGGACTAAGATTGAATCCTACTACACCGGCTGTGACCCTCGTCGGATATGGCAGGGCTTGCAAACTATTATGGACTACAAAGGGAAACCCAGCCGCGAGCTGTCCAGTGATGTGAGCCTACCAGACGAGCTAAATGCCTTTTATGCTCGCTTCGAGGCAAGCAACACTGAAGCATGCATGAGAGCACCAGCTGTTCCGGACGACTGTGTGATCCCGCTCTCCCGTAGCCGATGTGCGCAAGACCTTTAAACAGGTTAACATTCACAAGACCGCGGGGCCAGACGGATTACCAGGACGTGTACTCCGAGCATGCGCGGACCAACTGGCAAGTGTCTTCACTGACATTTTCAACCTCTCCCTGACCGAGTCTTTAATACCTACATGTTTCAAGCAGCCACCATAGTCCCTGTGCCCAAGAAAGCGAAGGTAACCTGCCTAAATGACTACCGCCCCGTAGCGCTCACAGCGGTAGCCATGAAGTGCTTTGAAAGGCTGGTCATGGCTCACATCAACACCATCATCCCGGAAACCCTAGACCCACTCTAATTTGCATACCGCCCCACAGATGACGCAATCTCAATCGCACTCCACACTGCCCTTTCCCACCGGGACAAAAGGAACACCAATGTGAGAATGCTGTTCATTGACTACAGCTCAGCGTTCAACACCATAGTGCCCACAAAGCTCATCACTAAGCTAAGGACCCTGGGACTAAACACCTCCCTCTGCAACTGGATCCTGGACTTCCTGACGGGTAGGTAACAACACAAAAGCCACACTGATCCTCAACACAGGGGCTCCTCAGGTGTGCATGCTTAGTCCCCTCCTGTACTCCCTGTTCACCCATGACTGCGTGGCCAAGCACGACTCCAAGACCATCATTAGGTTTGCTGACGACACAACAGTGGTAGGCCTGATCACCGACAACGATGAGAAAGCCTATTGGGAGGAGGTCAGAGACCTGGCAGTGTGGTGCCAGGACAACAACCTCTCCCTCAATGTGAGCAAGACAAAGGAGCTGATCGTGGACTACGTGAAAAGGAGGGCCGACAGGCCCCCATTAACATCGACAGGGCTGTAGTGGAGCGGGTCGAGAGTTTCAAGTTCCTTGGTGTCCACATCACCAACGAACTATCATGGTCCAAACACACCAAGACAGTCGTGAAGAGGGCATGACAACACCTTTTCCCCCTCAGGAGACTGAAACTATTTGGCATGGGTCCCAAGATCCTCAACGTTATACAGCTGCACCATCGAGAGGATCCTGACCGGTTGCATCACCGCCTGGTATGGCAACTGCTCGGCATCCGACCTTAAGGCGCTACAGAGGGTAGGGCGTATGGCCCAGTACATCACTGGGGCCAAGCTTCCTGCCATCAAGGACCTACAGTATATACTAGGCGGTATTAGAGGAAGGCCCAAACAATTGTCAAAGACTCCAGTCACCCAAGTCATAGACTGTTCTCTCTGCTACCGCACGGCAAGCAGTCTATGTCCAAAAAGGCTCCTTAACAGCTTCTACCCCAAGCCATAAGACTGCTGAACAATTAATCAAATGGCCACCCGGACTATTTACATTGCTGCTACTCACTGTTTATTATCTATGCATAGTCACTTTACCCCTACCTACATGTACAAATTACCTTGACTAACCTCTACCCCCACACATTGACTCGGTACCGGTACCGGTACCCCCTGTATATATCCTCGTTATTGTTATTTTATTGTGTTACTTTTTATTTTATTTTTTACTTCAGTTTATTTAGTAAATATTTTCTTAACTATTTATTGAACTTCATTTTTGGTTAAGGGCTTGTAAGTAAGCATTTCACAGTAAGGTCTACACATGTTGTAGTCGGAGCATGTGACAAATAACATTTGATTTAATATGGTGCGTTTTGCATGAAAGTTTCCCAAAAAATGAAAGGTTTGTGACCCACTGCTCAAATAGAATAAAAGAGAATTGAATAGAACAGAAGCTGATATAATCAGTCTTCTAGGTGTAGGTGGTGTTGCGGAGGTGGCCATAGAGTTTGCTGTCCAGGTTGATGAGCTGTCGGAGGAAGCCTCTGTTGGGGATCACACCGCGGTTATCCTTCACAGCACAGATGGCATCCACCAGGGTCAGGTTCTGTCTCAGCATCAGGTAGGCAAGAACCAGGGTGGCTGAACGACTCACCCCCACCGCACAGTGCACCAGCACTATGCCTGAGGGAGAGGTGGGGGGGTAGAGGGTAAAAAGAGGGGAGAGAACATGGATCTTTTCACACTAAGCCCACTGTGGTACTGTAACTTCCCCTCTGGAAACTCCTTCTTCCTTTCAGTGTGACCTTTCAGTGCGTTGCAGATAGAAATGTAATGTTTGCAAAGGAAATAATTATTCGACATGTACAATGCACATTTCATCATACACTTGGCCATACCACACTTTTAACATTATACAGGCATTCCCCATTTTAACAACGTATTACTCTATAACAAGCTATAACATACAATCTATGATGAAGTACTTTATACAATCAATGATGCTGTACTTATAACTTCTCCTTCACTGAGAAGGCCCTGGTCTGGACTTCCACTCACCTCCTTCACTGAGGGCCCTGTGGATGAAGTCTGCTGCAGTCTGGAAGTTGACACTAATGTCAAAATTACAGGAGTCATGGGCCTCGATGCCAAAGTACTTGATGTTCATGCCCAGGTATGTCTCCACCCCGTCTCGCCGTTTACTGTGGTTTGCGTTCAAGACGTGGGTGACACGATGGTTGGCCAACTGGCGGACATTCGTAGCACTGTCCCTATGAAAACCACAAGTTTCAAGTTTATTCAAAAACATTGCATAACAACTATGAAAATAGATGTTTGTACATGTTGAGGACAAGTCTAGAATAAACAAATAAATGCAGTCTACAATGAACAAGTAACAAATAATTTTTCCGCATTTTGTTATGTTACAGCCTTATTCTAAAATGGATTAAATAAAAAAACAATCCTCATCAACTACACACAATATCCCATAATGACAAATCAAAAACAGGTTTTTAGAAATGTTTGCAAATGTATTACAAATAAAAAACAGAAATACCTTATTTACATAAGTATTCAGACCCTTTGCTATGAGACTTGAAATTGAGCTCAGGTGCATCCTGTTTCCATTGATCACCCTTGAGAAGTTTCTACAACTTGATTGGAGACCACCTGTGTTAAATTAAATTGATTGGACATGATTTGGAAAGGCACACAACTGTCTATTTAAGTTCCCACAGTTGAAAGTGCATGTCAGTGCAAAAACCAAGCCATGAGGTCGAAGGAATTGTCCGTAGCACCGAGGCAGGATTTTTTTGAGGTACAGATCTGGGGAAGGGTACCAAAAAATTTCTGCAGCATTGAAGGTCCCCAAGAACACAGTGGCCTCCATCATTCTTAAATAGAAGAAGTTTGGAACCACCAAGACTCTTCCTAGAGCTGGCCACCTGGCCAAACTGAGAAATCGGGGGAGAAGGGTCTTGGTCAGGGAGGTGACCAAGAACCTGCTGGTCACTCTGACAGAGCTCCAGAGTTCCTCTGTGGAGATGGGAGAACCTTCCAGAAGGACAACCATCTCTGCAGCACTCCACCAATCAGGCCTTTATGGTAGAGTGGCCAGACGGAAGCCACTCCTCAGTAAAAGGCACATGACAGCCCACTTGGAGTTTGCCAAAAGGCACCTAACGACTCTGACCATGAGAAACAAGATTCTCTGGTCTGATGAAACCAAGATTGAACTGAATGCCAAACCTGGCACCATCCCTACCGTGAAGCATGGTGGTGGCAGCATCATGCTGTGGGGATGTTTTTCAGCGGCAGGGACTGGGAGACCAGTCAGGATCGAGGCAAAGATGAACGAAGCAAAGTACAGAGAGATCCTTGATGAAAACCTGCTCCAGAGCGCTCAGGACCTCAGATTGGGGCGAAGGTTCACCTTCTAACAGGACAACGACCCTAAGCACACAGCCAAGACAACGCAGGAGTGGCTTCGGGACAAGTCTCTGAATGTCCTTGAGTGACCCAGTCAGAGCCCGGACTTGAACCCGATCTAACATCTCTGAAGAAACCTAAAAATAGCTGTGCAGGGACGCTCCCCATCCAACCTGACAGAGCTTGAGAGGATCTGCAGAGAAGAATGGGAGAAACTCCCCAAATAAAGGTGTGCCAAGCTTGTAGCGTCATCCCAAGAAGACTTGAGGCTGTAATCGCTGCCAAAGGTGCTTCAACAATGTACTGAGTAAAGGGTCTGAATATTTATGTAAATGTAATATTTGTTTAGTTTTTTTAAAATTTGCAAACATTTCTAATATCCTGTTATTGCTTTGTCATTATGGGGTATTGTGTGTAGATTGATGAGGAAAAACAAAACAATTGTCAATTTTAGAATAAGGCTGTAACGTAACAACATTTGGAAAAAGTCAAGGTGTCTGAATACTTTCCGAACGCACTGTACATATAGATTGGATAAGAGCAAATAACTGGCAATCTGATATTAAGTTTTCACACTACTGTGGTCCACATTGGGAACTATGATCGGATAAACCTGTGCACTTTCCCAACACAGAATTCAAGTTACTTTAGAGGGCCCAAGCATTTAAAAACTGATTTATGATCAGCTCCCCTTACACACATCGGAGCCTCGTCCAAATGATGCCTTGGATTAGTCTCTATGGATCCGATGATGTACAAAATTCTTGTCCACTTAAAGTGACCATAGGTTAAATTCCAGTGTCAACCAAAATGAAAGGAAACATATTGTCACTGCACTTACTGGTCTCCAATGTAAAGTCTGGGCCACACTTCGTCTGCATGGCTGATGATGGCTTTCCCAGTGAACAGGAGTCGTTCCAGCTCAAACACAGCCAGCCCCGGTGAACTCAGGTCAATCTCCACCTTACGAGGAGGGGGTCTGTCGTTCCAGGACGGGGGGAGTTTGGAGGTAAAAGACATTTGTTCTGCTTTTAAAAGATCTGGTAAATCTCTGCTACAATACCTCCGCAGGTTACATATAAATCCAGTTTTTCTTCAAAGTGGTTTGAAGCCCAGTCCGAGAATGAAGACCATCTTTTTTTAATATTGCAGCTTCTGCGTTTTGCTGGAACCGGTTCTTGGAAAAGGCAGTGTAAATGAGCCCTACTGTATAAAGGATCTGGTCTATCACCATGCAAGGGAGACAGACTAACTATATCTCCATACTTCTTTCTAGAGCAGCAAAAGTATTGATTGTAGGTTCATTTCACAGGAATCCTGAAGAGGGATGAACAGGTGTGGGTTTTATAAGGGTGCCTTGCTTCGGCGTTGCTTGCTCCTGGGAGTCTTCAGAGCAATCTGACGCCGTCCCACAAATCAAAGTCAATGCGTGTTCCACAAGGCTCGGAGAGACCGTGTTATGCTTTCGCATCAAATAGCTACCTATTTAAAGATCTGAAGGCTAGCTGGCAGGCAAGGGTGTGTGCGGACATACACTGCCTTCTCAACTTCACCAAAATACATTCATTTCATTTTTCTCATGGCTAGCCATTCTGAAATGGAGATAGGGATTCTTTAGGGAGGGAAACTATTCACAGAATGAATTAAATCCATAGAGAAAAGATATCAACTTGCAGTGTGTTTTGTCTCACTTACATTACCCCTCACTTCATTCAAATTTCTCTTTCATTTTCTCTGTCCCACCTATCATATGACGAACTCTTGTTAATTGTGAGTGTTTATGGTATGTTTTCCAAAAATACTATAAAATAACATGCATATAACACATTTGAAAAATGTACTGACATTTAATGCAATTCCTCAGTTTGAGCTGTAGTAATTTCTGAATCCGTCAGGAAAATATTCCCATCTTGTGTAGGAAACATGCATTACGTCAGAAACCGCTGTAGACAGGACCTTGGTCCCCGTTCCTGTATTTAAGTTGTCTACTATATATTACAAATATATATATTAATAGTGAATGGTGCTTTATCTGAACACAAAAATAACATCACAGGAAAATATGACAAACAGAACATTTTGTTCCATGCAAAGCTTAAGAGATTTTAAGTTTATTTTTTATAACGATTTGAAAAAGCACCTGCCGATATTATGGCACTCAACAAAGTAGCTGATTTCTAAGAAATTAGCACAGTCTACGAAATAAGTGATTTTTGGTGCTAGATTAAATAAGAAAAGCATCTGATTTGTTGTTTTGAAATAAAAAAGAGAAGCGAGTCAAACATCCAATCATAGTGCTGTAGGATGAAGCTGACCCAACCACCTGTTCCAATACTTTGACAATACATCCTTCTTCCTTAAAATATCACTGGGCCCGTATCCATAAAGCCTCTTAGAGTAGGAGTGCTGATCTAGGATCAGTTATCACCTTTTAGATCATAATGAATAAGATTATATGGACAAGGAGGACCTGAAACTAGATCAACACTCCTACTCCGAGGCGATTAGTGGATATGGGTCCTGGTCTGATATGAACTTGAATGGTAAAACTGTGGAAGAATGGTCAGAGATTACTCTATAGAAGGAAGTATTGGGACAGGGTCTAAGGTCAGTTTTCCTTTTCGTCCTTCGAAGAATAACGCTAATCTGATCATAGATCTGCACTTAATTACAATGTCTACCACCAATCAATGGCAATAGCATTGTGGAGGAGTTGTAGACAAACTACTATACAGCACATACCAGGGTTGGCATCAATTCCATTTTTAATTCCATCTATTCAGGAAGTTAATTGAAACTTGCTCAATATTTCCATTGAGGTACTTTAAGTCATTAATTGAATTTCAATTAATTTCTTCCATCGACCGCAATGAAAAGCAATTGACCCTACCTTTGTAGATACTGAAGAAAAAAGTGTAAATGAACATAATAGTGTGTAACGTTACCCACCCAGGGATTGATATTAAAGTCTAAAAAGGCACTTGCCCATCGGGCAAGTCAGGAGTATTTTTTGGTTGCTCAAAGATTATGATCACTTGCCCGAAAATGTAAATTATGCAGAAGTGCCATATTGCCTGCCTTTCAATTACTTTAAATCAGTTTTTTTTAAATAGACTTGCCCGACTGCCATAAATTCTCTGTCTTTCACTTAAAATAAATATTCATTTTAGGCTATTGGAATTCATTGTAGTTTGGTTGTTTTTAAAAACAGATCACCTGCCTAATGGAGCAACCTCAGAGCAGGCTCAACTGCTCAGTTCACTTCCCCAAGGCAATAGGGCAACCCTTAATATCAATCCCTGCCACCCCTGTGGCGATTTGGAAGGCTGTGTTTGAATGCACACTGTTTGCATTCTGCTTACAATGACAAGTGGGAGATAAGGTTAGGGTTAGTGATAAAGGGGAAATCTCATGGTAGTGCAAATGGTTCGCAACATGTAAGAAAACATGGTGAATGGAACACTCATGGTAGAAGTGGCCTTGAAAACACAGATCTAGGATCAGATTAGCCTACGCCAAATCCTAACCTTAATAACCAGGCAAAAACGTCTCACCCTATCAGTGATTAAGGGCCAACGTTTACCTACTTTGAAAGGAACATGGTGACACTATATGAAACCACCATTATAAGACTACATTACACTGGCACAAGCATGACATAACCGATGCTTTAAGCCGTCATGGACACTAATGTCGGGTTATGACAACTAACCCAACAACACCATAACTTAGTCATGACTTGATATGTACAACCATTACATTTGCCATCATGAATACTTTGACATGGCATCTCTTTTGTTCCTGATCACACCTGCATGAAGTAGCCTAAGCTGGCCTGATTCCAAACCAAACCAACCCCTAAGTCCTTGTCGACAACCATTCTTTCTATCTAAACCTTTACAATCCGGGAGGTGTAGTCAACAAACAGGGACTTAAGCATTTAATTCCAAGGAACCAGTTCGGATATGAAATAAGGACCACAACCTGACCGTGGAAGATTCAAATGTCACAAAAAAAGAACAGTGAGACCCTTAGAACCAGAACCGGTCCAATTCAGAAGGCCTTTTTCTCCAGCCGGTCCAGTATGGCCTGGATCCTCTGCACAGCCTCCTTCCGGGCCTGCCTAACCACTTCCTGTCCCTGAGTCTCCACTGAGTCCAGAACCAGCAGCTCCTTGGTCAGAAGTTCCTCCAGGTACCGGTAACTCTTGTCCGATTTTTTACCCACAAACTCGTCCACATCCTCATGGAGCAAAAGCACCCGGGCCATGACCTGCTGGACTTTGGCCAGGCTGGGGTTGTCGCTCAGGGGCTGGGGCCCGATCGGACCCTGGGACTGGGCTGGGGTTGGAGGCTCACCTTGGGAAGGCTTTGGCTCCTGCGCCCCCCCTCGCCATGGTTTGTTGTACATCTGGGGAGGTGAGCTGAAGTCGACAGGCTTGCCATTAGGGGGGTTAGGGGAGGGGGCTGGTCTGGATTTGGGTCCCACCTGTGGGGCACACTGGTGCTGGTGGGGTCCTGGGTAGTGCTGGTCCTGAGGAGGTAAAAAAGATTGTCTTAGACAATTAGTGTATAATGAATAGAAATTAAATGAATTCAGACCCAAGACAGCTATGGTACCAGAGGAGGATTTGAGCTTTTATCTGAAATATCCCCTTTCTTCCAAGAATAAGTAAATTAGGCCCACTTAGAGGGTATTTTAGAAACAATATGTTCAAATAAAGGAGACGAGACGACCAAAGGCCAATTTAGGTAACTGAGATGCCTCCCTTGTGTTCCACACGTACCTTGGCTTCATAGGGGGGTGGGGCTCCAGTGCCAGTGCCTGGCCAGGCTGGGGGGTGTTGCGGGCGGACAGGGGTCCCATAGTTGCTGTGTAGAGGTTGGGTGCCTGGCTGCCACTGCTGCTGCTGGTGTGAGGGCCCATACCCACCCGAGTGGGCCCAAGCCTCAGCCTGTGGCCTAGGGTGAAGGGCCTGTCCAGTGGGGTATTGGGGGTTTGGGGGCAATGCAGGACCACCTTCCCCATAGTGTGGGTAAGACCCAGGAGGATAGCTAGGGGCCTGGGAGAAAATAGACAACAAGCACCATTATACCCAACTGCCTTTACATCAGACACCGTTAAACACTGCCCTGCACTGGTTGAATGAACTTACCCCTTGACAGTGTGGTCCAGGGTAGTGGTGGTGCTGATGTTGGTGCTGGGCGTGTGGTTGGCCTGACCCCCCTGTGCTCTGCTCTGGTCCTTGGCAACCCTGGCTAGGGTACTGGCCTGTTGCCTGCCTGGGAGACATCTGCTCTGCACAGTAGAATGGGTTGGATGGGTGGAAAGAATTTGCAGAATACTGGCCTGGACCAGGGTTATAGACGCCATGGCCATTTGGATATGCTTGCATTGCCTGGATAGGGAGAGAAAGGGAATGTGTGCATACATCAGTAAGTGTTTGAATGTGAGTGCCAGACTGCCAGTCTGTGAAAATATGTGTGCGTGAGTAACAAAGTGTCAGGGAAGGGTGAGAGCCCTTGAGTCTATGGATAAGGACTTAATCCCCATGTATAGCTGTGGATTTAGAGGGCCTTTGCTATGACATAACATAACATGAGGCAGTACTGTACCTGTGGGTTGTAAGGTGGCTGCACATCGGATCCTGAAGGATAGGCATTTGGATAGTGCCCTGCTGTGGAATGTGTCTGAGGGTACCAGTAGTTTGAGGAGTAACCAGGGTATTGGGAAGCGTCCTGCAGGCATATGAGTCTCAAAATCAGCAATGTTTAAATAGATAGCTATATTGACCAGAGTAAACAGTAACCCTAGACCTCTATTGCCACGTCACTTCAAGAACTTGTTTGACCAAAATATCCAATCATCAAATGCAGCAAGACACTGACAGAATGCAAAAGCATTTCCTACTGTATTACATAATAGCTAGCTGACGTTCGCTAGCAGCAGAAGCATCACAAAATAGTAGCCATTAACTAGCTAGGATCTAACTAGGATATTTAGCATACACTACAAACTACATAACTAGACAATCTGCATGTCAAATATAACTAACTAAGCAAGTTAGATAACGTTAGCTAGCAATATAGGAAATCTTACTAGTTGGGACTGACGCGGTCAGAAGACGGCTAGCTAGCTGGCTAGAACGCAGGCTAGCCAGCTAACGTTAGCTAATGAACGTTAAACTTTATACACAGTACAAAAAGACAAAAGCTTGTTTACGAACATTAAATCGTATGTTCTAAAATGTGATTAACATAACTAGCTAGCTATCTACGTGTTGATATGAATTAGCTTCAATGTGTCTTACCATAGCGTTACTCCAGTTCACGTTATTATTTTCCGAGTTGAAATTTGAGGGCCAGGCGGATTTGGGATTCGACTGCATTTGATGATGCATAACCCAAGCAGCGTCCCCAGCACTTCTGTCGTTTGTCATTTAAAAAAATCGTGATAAAATCGACTGTCAAATCGGAGGGCTCTGACTGCTATGAAAAATAAATGCTTTATTGAAATTCTCGAGTTATAGAACGCATTGATCATGGACAGCTAAATATATTCTACTTTGCCCCTTTAATTTTTCGCCCCTCCCTCTTCTTTTTCCCCAACATGCGTAGAATATTTGGTATTTTGACCAATAGGCTCTCAGAGTTTAGAGCAGATCTCTACGAATGCGTGGGTTTAAACCAATGATTTGTTTAAACAAATGGCGATGGGTTTAAAAGTATACGAAAACTATTTTTTTAAACTTTATAAATACAATTCGTGGTAGTTGTTTGAATGGCCTAATATTTGTGTATTCTTAACAATCAAAGGCATGATCATTTAAAGTATTACATTATTAGAAAAATGAAATGTCCTAATTCTACATCAGTTATTAAAGTTATATTTGCCTAAATTGTCACTTAATAACTCAATCGAAATTCAAATAACATTTTTATTATATCTATTATCGGTTATCGGAATAAACGACAGAACATTTTCCAATGTGCCGTGCCATCGGCGTTTAATGGGTTAAAATTCTACAGGAAGCGTTCCGTGAGCGTGTGCGTTCCATGCGCTTCCTGTAGAGAGGATACAGCTATATTTTTGAACGAGTTTCATGGCTTTATACATTTTCTACACAGCGATTCGGTACACACGATCAAAATGAACTACATGCCAGGGACTGCGAGTCTCATCGATGATATAGACAGTAAGTTGGGATATCGAAGGTTAGGCTGAGTTGAGGCAGAAGTGTGAGTGAAAAGCCCACAATATTTCCAACGTTCGAAAACAGTGATGATGATGATAATGATCAAATAAAGTCACTATTATATTATAAACCCCTTCTTGTTAACTATTCATCATTCGTCACGGGGCGACCTTGCAACATTGTATCCAAAACTCAGTGTGGGGGGGGACAACAACAACAACGATTGGATACATTGTAACCACGTGCGGTCGCTCAACTATAAACATTCCTCTCTTTTTTGTTGTTGCAGAAAAACATCTTGTACTTCTTCGAGATGGAAGAACGCTAATTGGGTTTCTGAGAAGCATTGACCAGTTTGGTATGGCAAATTAACAACCTAATAATCAAATTGTGGTTTAAAAACCAGCCGCCTTAGCGTACTTTAATGTTGTCAATACTCAGATAATACAACTTATTCACAAGTAGGTACATTCAGGCAATCAGAGGGAAAATTATCTAAACTTCCCTATCACTTGACCTTCTCTTTCAGCCAACCTAGTTTTTCATCAAACAGTCGAGCGCATCCATGTGGGCAAGAAGTTTGGAGATATTCCCAGAGGAATCTTCATTGTGAGAGGAGAGAATGTTGTTTTGCTTGGAGAAATAGTAAGTATTCATCCATGCCACCAGTGGTGGAAAAAGTACTCAACTGTCATACTTGAGTAAAAGTAAAGATACCTTAATAGAAAATGACTCAAGTAAAAGTGGAAGCCACCCAGTAATATACTACTTGAGTAAAAGTCTAAAAGTATTTGGTTTTAAATATACCTAAGTATCAAAAGTAAATGCAATTGCTAAAATATACTTAAGTATCAAAAGTAAAAGTATAAATAATTTCATATTCCTTATATTAAGCAAACCAGATGGCACAATTTTTTACTTTTTTATTTATTGGCGGATACCCAGAGGTAAATAAATAATAAATAATATGCCATTTAGCAGACACTTTCATCCAAAGCGACTTACAGTCATGCGTGCATACATTTTTGTGTATGGGTGGTCCCGGGGATCGAACCCACTACCTTGGCGTTACAAGCGCTGTGCTCTACCAGCTGAGCTACAGAGGACCACAGGTCCAGGTACACTCCAACATAATTTAGAAACAAAGCATTTGTGTTTAGTGAGTCCGCCAGATCAGAGGCATAACCAGGGATGTTCTCTTGATAAGTGCATGAATTTGACCATTTTCCTGTCATTTTACATTTTAGTCATTTAGCAGACGCTCTCATCCAGAGCGACTTACAGGAGCAATTAGGGTTACGTGCCTTGCTCAAGGGCACATCGACAGATTTTTCACCTAGTCAGCTCGGGGATTAGAATCAGCGACCTTTCAGTTACTGGCACAACGCTCTTAACCACTAAGCTACCTGCCGCTGTCAAAATGTAACAAGTATTTTTGGGTGTCAGGGAAAATGTATGGAGTAAAAAGTACATTATTTTCATTAGGAATGTAGTAAAGTAAAAGTTGTCTAAAATATAAATAGTAAAATGCAGATTCCCCAAAAAACTACTTGAGTAGTACATTAAAGTATTTGTACTTAAGTACTTTCCACCACTGCATGCCACCCTCTTGTTCTTTATCAGTACTTCAAGGCTGCTTTCCTTAGTAGAGTAGGCCTACACACAGTAATTTGTTTGTGTTAAAGTAAGCCTGTTGATTAGAATCATATTAGGATCATAGAGAATGAAAAACAACCAGAAATAACAGCTGATTTTCTGGTTCATTTAAGAAAGCTAAACACAGATATGTGTGTTTGGTTGTTGAGTCAATTAGACCATGCCCATTTCAAGCTTATCTTTCTGGGCCAGTATGAAAAACTCTAAGTCGCTCTGGATAAGAGTGTCTGCTAAATTACTAAAATGTAAAAATGTAAAACTAAAATGTTATTTCAGAATATCAGGCAAGTTAGCTGGCTAACTTGTTGATTTTGCTTTGTAGTATCCCCCTCAGTTGAATGTCTAGCAGTTTTTCAATATACTCACATTATTATTATTATTATTTATTTTTATTTTTTCACCTTTATTTAACCAGGTAAACCAGTTGAGAACAAGTTCTCATTTACAACTGCGACCTGGCCAAGATAAAGCAAAGCAGTGCGATAAAAACAACAACACAGAGTTACATATGGGGTAAACAAAACATAAGGTCATAAAATACAACAGAAAATATATATACAGTGTGTGCAAATGTAGCAAGTTATGGAGGTAAGGCAATAAATAGGCTATAGTGCAAAATAATTACAATTAGTATTAACACTGGAATGCTAGATGTGCAAGAGATTATGTGCAAATAGAGATACTGGGGTGCAAAAGAGCAAAATAAATAACAATATAGGGATGAGGTAGTTGGGTGGGCTAATTTCAGATGGGCTGTGTACATGTGCAGTGATCGGTAAGGTGCTCTGACAACTGATGCTTAAAGTTAGTGAGGGTCCTCTGTAGCTCAGCTGGTAGAGCACGGCGCTTGTAACGCCAAGGTAGTGGGTTCGATCCCCGGGACCACCCATACACACAAAAAAAAAAAATGTATGCACGCATGACTGTAAGTCGCTTTGGATAAAAGCGTCTGCTAAATGGCATATTATATTATATTATATAGATAAGAGTCTCCAGCTTCAGAGATTTTTGCAATTCGTTCCAGTCATTGGCAGCAGAGAACTGGAAGGAATGGCGGCCAAAGGAGGTGTTGGCTTTGGGAATGACCAGTGAGATATACCTGCTGGAGCGCAGACTACGGGTGGGTGCTGCTATGGTGAGCAATGAGCTAAGATAAGGTGGGGATTTGCCTAGCAGTGATTTATAGATGGCCTGGAGCCAGTGGGTTTGACAATGAACATGTAGTGAGGACCAGCCAACAAGAGCGTACAGGTCACAGTGGTGGGTAGTGTATGGGGCTTTGGAGACAAAACGGATGGCACTGTGATAGACTACATCCAATTTGCTGAGTAGAGTGTTGGAGGCTATTTTGTAAATGACATCGCCGAAGTCAAGGATCGGTAGGATAGTCAGTTTTACGAGGGCATGTTTGGCAGCATGAGTGAAGGAGGCTTTGTTGCGAAATAGGAAGCCGATTCTAGATTTAACTTTGGATTGGAGATTCTTAATGTGAGTCTGGAAGGAGAGTTTACAGTCTAACCAGACACCTAGGTATTTGTAGTTGTCCACATACTCTAGGTCAGACCCGTCGAGAGTGGTGATTCTAGTCGGGTGGGCGGGTGCCAGCAGCGTTCGATTGAAGAGCATGCATTTAGTTTTACTAGTGTTTAAGAGCAGTTGGAGGCTACTGAAGGAGTGTTGTATGGCATTGAAGCTCGTTTGGAGGTTTGTTAACACAGTGTCCAATGAAGGGCCAGATGTATACAAAATGGTGTCGTCTGCGTAGAGGTGGATCTGAGAGTCACCAGCAGCAAGAGCGACATCATTGATATACACGGAGAAAAGAGTCGGCCCAAGAATTGAACCCTGTGGCACCCCCATAGAGACTGCCATAGGTCCAGACAACAGGCCCTCCGATTTCACACATTGAACTCTATCTGAGAAGTAGTTGGTGAACCAGGCGAGGCAGTCATTTGAGAAACCAAGGCTATTTAGTCTGCCAATAAGAATGCGGGGGTTGACAGAGTCGAAAGCCTTGGCCAGGTCGATGAAGACGGCTGCACAGTACTGTCTATTATCGATCGCGGTTATAATATCGTTTAGGACCTTGAGCGTGGCTGAAGTGCACCCATGACCAGCTCGGAAACCGGATTGCATAGCGGAGAAGGTACGGTGGGATTCGAAATGGTTGGTGATCTGTTTGTTAACTTGGCTTTCAAATACTTTCGAAAGGCAGGGCAGGATGGATATAGGTCTGTAACAGTTTGGATCTAGAGTGTCACCCCCTTTGAAGAGGGGGATGACCGCGGCAGCTTTCCAATCTCTGGGGATCTCAGACGTTACGAAAGAGAGGTTGAACAGGCTAGTAATAGGGGTAGTAATTAGTAAGTAATTCAGCCCAAACTTTATTTGTCACCTACATAGTGTGGTTGATTCACACACAGGGCCCGGTTTCCCATAAGCATCTTAAGGCTAAGTTCATAGTTAGAACCATAGGATCCTATCGTTCTAAGATGATCTTAGCTTGAACTCACTGGGGCCAAGCTTCCTGCCATCCAGGACCTCTATACCAGGCGGTGACAGAGGAAGGCCCTAAAAATTGTCAAAGACTCCAGCCACCCAGTCATAGACTGTTCTCTCTGCTACCGCACGGCAAGCGGTACCGGAGCGCCAAGTCTAGGTCCAAAAGGCTCCTTAACAGCTTAGCCCCGGCCCGCTACCACATGCTAGCCGTGGCCTCTTGCTCGCTAGTGCTGTAGCAGCCCCCGAACTACCTCCGAACTCTCCTATTGCTGTTCACCGTACCTTATGATAACTCAGCTATACAGCTGATGCCTGCTGGACTGTTCCTTTATACGGTACGGCATCCTGTTTATGTTTAGCCTCAGCCCAAACTTTGTCGCCATTACCAGCTGTTGTCTTAGCTCTCGAATAACACCTGTGATTGCTTTATGCCTCTCTCCCATTTCAATATGCCTTGCTTATTGCTGTTTCGGTTATTTCTTATTGCACTATTTCACTGTAGATCCCCCAGCCCAGCTCAACCTGCCATAGATAGCTCCTTTGTCCCACCCCCCATACACGCGGCGACCGACTCAATCGGTGCCTCCAGTGATGCTATCTCTTTCATTGTTACCCAACGCTTAGGTTTACCTCCACTGTACTCATACCCTTCCATATCCTTTTCTGTACATAATGCCCTGAATCTATTCTACAACACCCGGAAACCTGACCCTTTTTTTCTCTGCACCCAACGCACTAGAAGACCAGTACTTAAAGCCTTTAGCCGTATCCTTATTCTACTCCTCCTCTGTTCCTCTGGTGATGTAGAGGTTAACCCAGGCCCTGTAGCCCCCAGTATAACTCCTACTCCCCAAGCATTATCATTTGTTGACTTCTGTAACCGTAAAAGCATTGGTTTCTTGCAAATTAACATCAGAAGCCTCCTCCCTAAGTTTGAGTTATTCACTGCGTTAGCACACTCCGCCAACCCTGATGTCCTAGCAGTGTCTGAATCCTGGCTTAGGAAGGCCACCAAAAATTCAGAAATGTCCATCCCCAACTACAACATTTTGTAGTTGGGGATGGATAAGTCTCTCACTGTTGCCGCTTGCTACAGACCCCCCTCAGCCCCGAGCTGTGCCCTGGACACCATATGTGAACTGATTGCCCCCCATCTATCCTCAGAGTTCGTACTGCTTGGTGACCTAAACTGGGATATGCTTAACACCCCGGCCAACCTACAATCTAAACTAGATGCCCTCAATCTCACACAAATTATCAACGAACCTACCAGGTACAACCCTAAATCTGTAAACATGGGCACCCTCATAGATATCATCCTGACAAATTTACCCTCTAAATACACCTCCGCTGTCTTCAACCAGGATCTCAGCGATCACTGCCTCATTGCCTGCGTCCGTAATGGGTCCGCGGTCAAACGACCACCCCTCATCACTGTCAAACGCTCCCTAAAACACTTTAGCAAGCTGGCCTTTCTAATTGACCTGGCCCGGGTATCCTGGATGGATATTGACCTCATTCCGTCAGTAGAGGATGCCTGGTTGTTCTTTAAAAGTGCTTTCCTCTCAATCTTAAATAAGCATGCCCCATTCAAAAAATTCAGAACTAAGAACAGATATAGCCCCTGGTTCTCCCTTGACTGCCCTTGTCCAGCACAAAAACATCCTGTGGCGTACTGCATTAGCATCGAACAGCCCCCGCGATATGCAACTTTTCAGGGAAGTCAGGAACCAATATACACAAGCAGTTAGGAACGCAAATGCTAGCTTTTTCAAACAGAAATGTGCATCCTGTAGCACTAACTACAAAAAGTTTTGGGACACTGTAAAGTCCATGGAAAATAAGAGCACCTCCTCCCAACTGCCCACTGCACTGAGGCTAGGAAACACTGTCACCACCGATAAATCTACAATAATCGAGAATTTCAACAAGCATTTTGCTACGGCTGGCCATGCTTTCCACCTGGCTACCACTACCCCGGCCACCAGCTCTGCACCCTCCGCTGCAACTTGCCCATGCCCCCCACCCCCCCACCCCCCCTCACACAAATTGAGACAGCTGATGTTCTGAAAGAGCTGAAAAATCTGGACCCCTACAAATCAGCTGGGCTAGACAATCTGGACCCTTTCTTTCTAAAATTAGCAGCCGAAATTGTCGCAACCCCTATTTCTAGCCTGTTCAACCTCTCTTTCGTAACGTCTGAGATCCCCAGAGATTGGAAAGCTGCCGTGGTCATCCCCCTCTTCAAAGGGGGTGACACTCTAGATCCAAACTGTTACAGACCTATATCCATCCTGCCCTGCCTTTCGAAAGTATTTGAAAGCCAAGTTAACAAACAGATCACCGACCATTTCGAATCCCACCGTACCTTCTCCGCTATGCAATCCGGTTTCCGAGCTGGTCATGGGTGCACCTCAGCCACGCTCAAGGTCCTAAACGATATTATAACCTCGATCGATAAAAGACAGTACTGCGCAGCCGTCTTCATTGACCTGGCCAAGCCTTTCGACTCTGTCAACCACCGCATTCTTATTGGCAGACTAAATAGCCTTGGTTTCTCTAATGACTGCCTCGCCTGATTCACCAACTACTTTTCAGATGGAGTTCAATGTGTCAAATCGGAGGGCCTGTTGTCTGGACCTCTGGCCGTCTCTATGGGGGTGCCACATGGTTCAATTCTCGGGCCGACTCTATTCTCTGTGTATATCAATGATGTTGCTCTTGCTGCTGGTGAAGCTCGGATCCACCTCTATGCGGACGACACCATTTTGTATACATCTGGCCCTTCATTGGACACTGTGTTAACAAACCTCCAAACGCGCTTCAACGCCATACAACACTCCTTCCGTAGCCTCCAACTGCTCTTAAACACTAGTAAAACTAAATGCATGCTCTTCAACCGAACGCTGCTTGCACCCGCCCACCCGACTAGAATCACTACTCTCGGCGGGTCTGACCTAGAGTATGTGGACAACTACAAATACCTAGGTGTCTGGTTAGACTGTAAACTCTCCTTCCAGACTCGCATTAAGCATCTCCAATCAAAAGTTAGATCTAAAATCGGCTTCCTATTTCGCAACAAAGCCTCCTTCATTCATGCTGCCAAACATGCCCTCGCAAAACGGACTATCCTACCGATCCTTGACTTCGGCAATGTAATTTACAAAATAGCCTCCAACACTCTACTCAGCAAATTGGATGTAGTCTATCACAGTGCCATCCTTTTTGTCACCAAAGCCCCATATACTACCCACCATTGTGACCTGTACGCTCTTGTTGGCTGGCCCTCACTACATATTCGTCGCCAAACCCACTGGCTCCAGGTAATCTATAAATCACTGCTAGGCAAATCCCCGTCTTACCTTAGCTCACTGGTCACCATAGCAACACCCACCCGTAGTCTGCGCTCCAGCAGGTATATCTCACTGGTCATCCCCAAAGCCAACACCTCCTTTGGCCGCCATTCCTTCCAGTTCTCTGCTGCCAATGACTGGAACGAACTGCAAAAATCTCTGAAGCTGGAGACTCTTATCTCCCTCACTAACTTTAAGCGTCAGTTGTCAGAGCAGCTTACCGATCACTGCACCTGTACACAGCCATTCTGAAATTAGCCCACCCAACTACCTCATCCCCATATTGTTATTTATTTTGCTAATTTGCACCCCAGTATCTCTATTTGCACATAAGCTTTTGCACATCTATCGTTCCAGTGTTAATACGAAATTGTAACTATTTTGCACTATGGCCTATTTATTGCCTTACCTCCATAACTTACTACATTCGCACACACTGTATATATATTTTCTGTTTGTATTTTTGACTTTATATTTTGTTTAACCCATATGTAACTCTGTGTTGTTGTTTTTATCGCACTGCTTTGCTTTATCTTGTCCAGGTCGCAGTTGTAAATGAGAACTTGTTCTCAACTGGCTTACCTGGTTAAATAAAGGTGAAATAAATAAAAAACAAGCCATAAGACTGCTAAACAGTGAATCAAATGGCTACCTGGACTATTTGCATTGACCCCCCTTTTTTACACTGCTGGTACTCACTGTTTATTATCTATGCATAGTCACTTTACCCCTACCTACATGTACATATTACCTCGACTAACTTGTATCCCCGCACATTGACTCGGTACCGGTACCCCCTGTATATAGCCTCGTTATTGTAACTTTTTTTTTCTTACTTTATTTTATTTTAGTCTACACCTGTTGAATTCGGCGCATGTGACGAATAGTTTCATTTGATCAGTTGATAAAAATCAACTGCTGGGGTTTACACGTGTGCCACTTCTATTACTCTCCAGCAGGACATGGATGACATGTAAGTTGACAGTATGTTTAATATGATACCTCTTTAGGACATGGATAAGCCGTGTGACACAGTCTTGCAGCAAGTTTCTATAGAGGAGATCCTGGAGGAGCAGCGATTGCAACAGCAAGCCAAGCAGGAGACGGAGAAAGCCAAGGTGTCCGCACTGAAGGACAGAGGCCTATCCATCCCAAAAGCAGATAATCTCGATGAATACTGAAGACGCTTCTGTTCCATTTTCTTCCGTTATACTGGACTCCTCAGTTATATGTCGATTAGGGGATTCTTTTGGAGACGGTGAGAAGAATGTGTGTTTTGTAGATGACGCAGCGTCACACTAAATACTGTACTGATTTCATTTTGATTATGGCTCATTGGTTTGAAAGCAAGCAATGAATTAAGTGATGCATTTTTGTTATCTTTGATGGCCGGTGTTATGCAGGAATTGAGGGTAGACCACACAGCCTAGATTGTCTACAAGACAACATTTGATGAGAAATCAATTATGATTTTCATACCACAGCACTGAGAACTTTGTCAATAGTATATAGTGATGTACACTTTATGTTAGTGTAAGCAGACAAATTGTAATGATAAAATGTGTTTTCCATTAAAGTTTGTTATTTTAAATGGGAATTTTCACTTGAGTCTGACAATGGAACACTGCTCTACTGCTGCAGGCACTGCAGTCTCCCATAGAGTGATAGAGGCCTCTAGTGGCCAAAAGGCCATATTAGCATGGGCAGTGCCGTTGAGGGCTTCCACCATTTTAATATAGTCAACTGGGTGGGACTTCCAACTTCATTGGCTGATCCATCCTGGTGACCATGTTGAAATCATGTCCAACCGGGTCATCAGGAGGCATCAGCCAATCTGACGGAGAATGGAGCTGGGAGGTATAGCGGACGTTTTACGGGCTCCTTACCAATTATGTTATTTTGTGTTGTTTTTTTGTGCTGATCTTAAAGTTTTTTGTACGTAATGTTTTCACCATCATTTCCTATGACCGAAAATAGCTTCCGGACATCAGAACAGCGATCACTAACCTTGATTTGGATGAAGAATTCTACTTCAATGATTCGGCTACGCAGGACATACTGCTCACCGGGACCAGGCCCTAATCCCCTACACTCAGAAAGAGGAAAAGACAACGATATAGAGGCTGGCATGGGACACCCTGATGAAACTATGGCAGCGAGTGAATAACCCACCCTTCCCTCTGTTCTATTGGTGAATGTACAATCACTGGAGAACAAACTAGACGAGCTCCGTTCGAGACTGTCCTATCAATGGGACCTGAAGAACTGTAATAGCCTATGTTTGTCGATATGTAGGCGGAAGTCGGACATTTTTAATCCCAATAAGGGAATGGGCACACTAAGACTCAGGAACACGGATGAAATTGTATATGACGTATATCATTGTCCATTTTTGTCCATCAAAAGTACAACTCATCTTTTCAGACCAGTTCATACGATGGGTGCATACAAAAAAAGATTGACAATTTGTAAAAATTCACCTTACAATGGATAACTCCCATTGAAAAAGAATTGTCTTCATCCGGAATATTCGGACACAAGCCTAATGTATACCGTCTATGCACAACACACATTGAAAGTTGGTGATCGCTGGTGATTAAAGATGGCCACTGACTGCAGAAAACTGATCTGCTCGAACATACCCTGTGGTTATGAGTTCATTTCCAGCATATGGCACATTAATTGAATTTGGATCATATTTGGATCCCATGTCTCCTTTCCGTGTTATTAGACCTACTGATATTTTACTTTATATGTATATATACACTGAACATAAATATAAATGCAACATGTAAAGTGTTGGTCCCATGTTTCATGAGCTGAAATAAAAGATCCCAGAAATTATCCATACACACAAAAAGCTTATTTCTCTCAAATTTTGTGCACAAATTTGTTTACATCCCTCTTAGTTAGAGTTTCTCCTTTGCCAAGATAATCCATCCACCTCAGGTGTGTCATATCAAACAGCATATCATTACACAGGTGCACCTTGAGCTGGGGACAATAAAAGGTCACTCTAAAATGTGCAGTTTTGTCACACAACACAATGCCACAGATGTCTCCATTTTTGAGGGAGCGTGCAATTGGCGTGGTGACTGCAGGAATGTCCACCAGAGCTGTTGCCAGATAATTTAATGTTAATTTCTCTACCATAAGCTGCCTCCAACATCGTTTTAGAAAATGTGGCAGTATGTCCAACTGACCTCACAACCACAGACCACGTTTATGGCGTCGTGTGGGCAAGCAGTTTGCTGATGTCAACATTGTGAACAGAGTGCCCCATGGTGGTGGTGGGGTTATGGTATGGGCAGGCATAAGCCACAGACAAACACAATAGCATTTTATCGATGGCAATTTGAATGCACAGAGATACAGTGAAGAGATCCTGAGACCCATTGTCGTGCCATTCATCCGCCGTCATCACCTCATGTTTCAGCATGATAATGCACGGCCCCATGTCGCAAGGATCTGTATACAATTCCTGGAAGCTGAAAATGTCCCAGGTCTTCCATGGCCTGCATACTCAACAGACATGTCACCCACTGAGCATGTTTGGGATGCTCTGGATCAACGTGTATGACAGTGTGTTACAGTTTCTGCCAATATCCAGCAACTTCGCACAACCATTGACGAGGAGTGGGACAACATTAAACAGGCCACAATCAACAGCCTGATCAACTCTATGCGATGGAGATGTTTTGCGCTGCATGAGGCAAATGGTGGTCACACCAGATACTGACTGTTTTTTTATACATGTCTCTACCTTTTTTTTTAAAGGTATCTGTGACCAACAGATGCATACATGTACTCCAAGTTGTGAAATCCCAGAGATTAGGGCCTAATGAATTTCTTTCAATTTACTGATTTATTATATGAACTGTTACTCAGTAAAATCTTTGAAATTGTTGTATGTTACGTTTTATATTTTTGTTCAGTATATACGGTACCAGTCAAAAGTTTGGACACACCTACTCATTCAAGGGTTTTTCTTTATTTTTACTATTTTCTACATTGTAGAATAATAGTGAAGACACCAAAACTATGAAATAACACATATGGAATCATGTAGTAACCAGAAAAGTGTTAAACAAATCAAAATATAATGTATATTTTAGATTCTTCAAAGTATCCACCCTTTGCCTTGATGACGGCTTTGCACACTCTTGGCATTCTCTCAACCAGCTTCACCTGGAATGCTTTTCCAACAGTCTTGACGGAGTTCCCACATATGCTGAGCACTTGTTGGCTGCTTTTCCTTCACTCTGCAGTCCAACTCATCCCAAACCATGTCAATTGGGTTGAGGTCGGGTGATTGTGGAGGCCAGGTCATCTGATGCAGCACTCAATCACTCTCCTTGGTCAAATAGCCCTTACACAGCCTGGAGGTGTGTTTTGGGTCATTGTCCTGTTGAAAAACAAATGATAGTCCCACTAAGCGCAAACCAGATGGGATGGCGTATCGCTGCAGAATGCTGTGGTAGCCATGCTGGTTAAGTGTGCCTTGAATTCTAAAGAAATCACCGACAGTGTCACCAGCAAAGCACCCCCACACCATCACACCTCCTCCTCCATGCTTCACGGTGGGAACTACACATGGGGAGATCATCCGTTCACCTACTCTGCATCTCACAAAGACACAGCGGTTGGAACCAGAAGTCTCAAATTTGGACAGACCAAAGGACAGATTTCCACCGGTCTAATGTCCATTGCTCGTGTTTCTTGGACCAAGCAAGTCTCTTCTTCTTATTGGTGTCCTTTAGTAGTGGTTTCTTTGCAGCAATTCGACCATGAAGGCCTGATTCACGCAGTCTCCTCTGAATAGTTGATGTTGAGATGTGTCTGTTACTTGAACTCTGTGAAGCATTTATTTGGGCTGCAATCTGAGGTGCAATTAACTCTAATGAACTTTTCCTCTGCAGCAGAGGTAACTCTGGTTCTTCCTTTCCTGTGGCGGTCCTCATGAGAGCCAGTTTCATCATAGTGCTTGATGGTTTTTGAGACTGCACTTGAAGAAACATTCAAAGTTCTTGAAACTTTCCGGGTTTACTGACCTTCATGTCTTAAAGTAATAATGGACTGTCGTTTCTCTTTGCTTATTTGAGCTGTTCTTGCCATAATATGGACTTGGTCTTTTACCAAATAGGGCTATCTTCTGTACACAACACAACTGATTGGCTCAAACGCATTAAGTTCCACAAATTAACTTTTAACAAGGCACACTTGTTAATTGAAATGCATTCCAGGTGACTACCTCATGAAGCTGGTTGAGAGAATGCCAAGAGTGTGCAAAGCTGTCATCAAGGCAAAGGGTGGGTACTTTGAAGAATCTCAACTATAAAATATATTTAGATTTGTTTAACACTTTTTGGGTTACTACATAATTCCATATGTGTTATTTCATAGTTTTGATGTCTTCACTATTATTCTACAATGTAGAAAATAGTAAAAATAAAGAAAAACCCTTGAATGAGTAGGTGTGTCCAAACTTTTGACTGGTACTGTATATATATATATATATATATATATATATATATATATATATATATATATATATATATATATATGTCATATTGCTCAATAGGTTCTCCAGTAATGAATGGAACAAGGAAGGGAGTAGAAGAGATGATACAAACTGTCCCAGGTGATGGCGCCAAATTCCCAATAAGTTAACAAAGACAACTAATATGATGATAACTACACTGAAGAAAAATATAAACGGAACATGTAAAGTGTTGGTCCCATGTTTCATGAGCTGAAATAAAATATTCCAGAAATTGTTCATAAGCACATAAAGCTTACTTGTGCACAAATTTGTTTCCATCCCTGTTTGTGAGTATTTCTCCTTTGCCAAGATAATCCATCTACCTGACCGGTGTGACATATCAAGAAGCTGATTAAACAGCATGATTATTACACAGTTACACCTTGTGTTGGGGACAATAAAAGTCCACTAAAATGTGCAGTTTTGTCACACATCACAATGCCACAGATGTCTCATGTTTTGAGGGAGCGTGCAACTGGAATGCTGACTACAGGAACGTCCACCAGAGCTGTTGCCAGAGAAATTAATGTTAATTTCTCTCCCATAAGCCGCCTCCAACGTCATTTTTGAGAATTTGGCAGTACGTCCAACCGGCCTCACAACCGCAGACCACGTGTACCCACGCCAGCCCAGGAC